TTCCCACCCCTGAGACCTAATTACCGGCCCGGCAAAAATAATGATCTGTCGATTGACCCTATCATTATATTTTTTGAGGGCCTACAGGGGCTGGCATTTAGTTACCCGTAAAACGCGTTTTTTCTAGGGAATTCCCTAGGGACATGTCGGGCAAAAATCCCTCCACCCGGGCCTTAATCCTCTTTGTTGTCTACTGTCACGTCTGAATATCCGTGAATCTCATGTTGGCTCTCCAAGGTGAACAGAACCTAGAAAAAAGGGATTTGGAGTTGAGCACCGTTGATATGCAGCATGTATTATGAAATTTATGTAACTAAGTTCTGACTTATTGCTTGAAATCAAATTTTTTAGACAAATAATTCGACAGTGAGTTTTTGTAGTGGAATCTGAACCCAACGGGATTATTTCCATCGAATAAATTTACTGTAAGTTTGACGTTTTTATTTGGCTTGAGTATCCAAGTGAAATTGTCTCAACCCCTGCAGTTAAATTGTTTCTCTGCAATTCTCAGATTTGGGGCCTTTACTAACTAAATAAAAATGCAAAACTCTTCTTGACTGGAATCTTTGAAGATAATTTCAGTGCAATAAAATTTTTAATCCCTGGGAATTATTCATTGGTAATTGTTGATGTTCTCAGATGCTCTGACTTCTGTGTCAGTGACTGGCAATTAATATTCCTATATATCCTGTAAATAATTTAATAATGAATAAATAAATTCAATATTTGTTTCAGGATTATGGGACAAAGTCAAAGTGCTCGTAAATTGACAATTAACAATGAGGAATCGGTTATTCAAATATCGACGGATCTTGCAGATCGTTTGGCAACTAGGAGCATCAGACCTCAGGTCACGTCAGACGGGTTTAAACCACCTCCAGTGAGTCCTGCCATTCCTCAGGGTGGTACTGAGAGCTATTCAGCAGTGCACCCCTATCCGGAATTCACTGTCACAGCTTATAAAATGCAGCAGCTGAAAGAGCAGGAGCTGCAGGTCCAGGACCAGTATTGGCAGAAGAGATTGAATAATTTGCAATTGACTCACGAAAGAATTAACAGAATCCTCCAAGAGGAGTACAAACGTGCCATGGATGAAGTTACAAGTGCTAAAGGTGAGAGAAGAAAATTCATTACAATTTCAAAAGTTTAATCTTTTATTTTTAAGATTGCCAGATAATTATTAATTATTTTCAACTGCAATTGTAATAACAGACTATCCAAAAATCTTATTCTTTTTTTCGGATGTCATTCACTTGAGGAATATAATAATGAAAAACTGTCTGATTTTCAGTTCATGACATTAATTGACAATGAATAATTCTGCATGGAATATTTTTTCGTCATTATTCAGGTAACAAAAATATAAATCTGGATACAACAACACCAGCATGTGGTCCCGACAAGGAGAAAGTTCTTCGCTGCTACCAAGAGAATCCGAAAGAAATTATGAAGTGTTCGGTTGTAGTCGAGGAATTCAATCACTGTGTAGATAAATGCCGATGTGACCTCATCTCAGCAGGATGCTAATATAAAATGAAGTAAAAGCATCGATTTCATGAAGATAATAAACCTATTGTTTTCCATTCTGGGAAAATAAAGCAATCTAGTTTTCAATAACACCGGAGGATAATTGAATAGATAAATGTATACATTACTTTGTTATTTGCACAGAACAACTTCAAGATGATTTATTTTCATTTGCGGACGGGTCCAGAGATCTGGCCACGTTGAATGTATTGAACAGAAATCATTGAAACTATTTGCAATTAATTATTAAGGGCGACGTACCCCGGTGATTCATCAGAAGATATATAAATGTGAAGTTCAATGTAAAAAATTGTAATTTTTTACTATTTCAAACCAGCGAAGGCAGAGGATGAGAATTTTGGACAGTCCTTTATGATTTTACTTTAATTAGCAGGACATAAGCAACAGAAAAAACAAGAGGTCTCTACTTTCTTTTCTCATCAGCACCCCCAGCATCCCTCAATAAAACCAGACACCTCCGAATTACACCGTTTATTCACAAACTGCAGGTCTGCAGTTTAACTAATCATTACCATGAGTAATATTAAAGTATGTAAAAATCTATAGCATTTTGATCATACATAATCTCTGAGGGAGATTAATTACATCGAAGTATGAGGATGAAGGAAGCAAACAAATGAGTGAACGAGAGACGTTATACTTGATACCATGAAATTGAAATTATTAATTGAATGGCCAATAACGCCTCAATGAGCTCTGAAATCTTTCTCTCACATTCAAAAATAATTTAAACCCTCCGGAGGAAATGAATTCAGAGCAAATTGGGCGCAATTGTATCCCCTAATTAACTCGAGATTATTAAAGAAAAAAAAACAGGAATTGGAAGTCTCTAATCACTCTTCTTATCACCACCACCAGCCTTCTGCAGCTTGGCGTGCTCCTCGGTCAATCTGTCGTACTCTTTGGCGAGTGAATCAGCTTGGGATTTAAGTGCCTCCTTGTCCTTCTTCTCCTTCCTCAGGTCACTCTCGAGTTCGCTATTTTTGTTAGCCAACTCTGATAATTGGGACTTTAGTTCGGAAACTAGTTTGTCGTGCGCCTCATTTGTGTCATTCTGGGCTGCCTCGCCTTTCTGGGCGAGGAGACTTCTTGCTGTTGTTGTGGCTGATTGTGCTTGACGCATCGATGCCTCACTCTGGGCCAATAGAGTCGCCTGAGTTGATATGAGAAGTACCAAACGACGAATTACAAGACTCAAAAAGAGGGCAAAACCGGATATATAGAAATTCCGCTGGGCCCTGAAGAGTCTCATGTTTCCTGTTAAATAATGAATAATTAAATAACCAGTCGATTGATTTGTCAGATCAAGATCATTATTAAACGAAAAGGGCAAAATAATTTAGTATAAAAATAATTTATAATAAAGAGGCGAATATCAACAAATGGCCAACAAATGGAGTCAACTGATCGATAAATTTTCGAGGAATATCTTGGAATACGAGAGAGATAGCGAAGTTTTTATAAGAGCCTTTCTTCTAGTTCTCATTTTGTTTTATAAAAAAGGTCCTGAAGTGGGTTCTGCTGTCTGTCCTAGATTCAGAGATATTCCGCGAAAACTCAGGTACGATACCTTGCATCTCAGCATCCAAATGTGCGTGATCAGAGTGCTCCATGGTCGAGTACTTCCTCATCTCCCTGATAGCATCCAACAAGAACAAGACAAGAATAGCTATGAGAATAATGAAGTAAATAGCGGCCTGATTGGTCAGACTCTGGAGAAATCTGGATTTGAAGAGTCTCTGCCATCTCGTGGGTGATGCTATGGGAAGCACCAGGAGAAGGACAATGAAAATTTCGAAGTACAGGAATGATGCAATTAACGTCCACTGAAGACTCATTTTTCCTTGAATTACAATTCACTAGTGCGTAAATTCAACCTGAAACACAATATTAATGGTCGATCAGTGACATATCAGATGTCCAGTCGATCTTCAAGAAGTAATTGGGCCACGTCTCCACTCCAGTCTGTTTATATCAATGAATCATCGTCTTATCCATCTACTGCATATTCCTTCACTCCCAAAAAAAAAATAAATCGAAAATAATTGATAAAGAAAATACATATGGAAGAATGAAGTCATCGATCAGCAAATAAAAATTTAATGATCGAAAGATAAAAATTGCTCGCATAATCAGCAGAACATATATTTATTGTCTAACTGCCACAATTTCCCTGAAGAAACCCCAACAATACTTTGGAAAAATGGAAAATAGTCTATTCTTCTAACCCACTGGAAAATAACCGTTACTGGACAATCAGGCTAATTAATTTCACGGTGAGAATAATTGTTAAAAAATCCGCTGATTCATAATTATGGAAGAAAAACATCTCGTGCTGTAAAAAATATGAATGTCCTCGAATTACACAGAATTTATTGAAGAAAATCCTTAAGGTATTTCTCTTGAAAAATAATGCGTCACGAATTAAAGGCACCGGTGTGCAAAAAGAAGAAACAGATGATCTCACCTAACCGGCAGAAAATTCGTGCGTATGATAAAACAATTACGTGTCCTCACCTCAGGAACTTCTCTAGTGCCCAGTACCAGATCTAGGTATAACACTGAGCAAAGTGCAAAATTAAACGTTGACAATTTATAAATAAATTCTTGCCATCGATGACGTTACGTACCAAAGAGAGAATAGACTAAGATGGCGTTCCGATCGTTTTTATTTCGCTAGTAATTTTTAATACTCCAAAAGGACATCACATCGTCTTGCTACTGTCTCTGTTATTGCCAAAGAATAATTACTCCAGTACGTACTAGAACATGATAATACAAATTAAGATATGAATTAAATTAGTGAAATTGAATTACAATCTTTAATTGGTAGAATGGCTCGAGTACCAGACGAAGAATTAAAAAAAGCATTCAGTGAACTCCAGGAGAAGATGGTGGATACAACCCAAAAGCTACGATTAGCTGATATTCAAATTGAGAGTCTCAAACGTACGAAGCAATATGCAGAATTAACTATTAAAGAAATAGCAGCACTTTCCAATACCACCAAGACATATGAATCTGTTGGGAGAATGTTTCTTCTCGATGATATCGCGAGTATCAAGAGTGGTTTACAAACGAGAATGAAGAATGCGGATGAAAAAATCACGACATTGGAGAATAATAAGACTTACCTCGAGCGTGATTTGAAGGAGAGCAAGAATAATCTCAGGGAAATGGTCCAGCAGAGGCAGAATAAAGATACCTCAGGATAAGAGGAGGTTAGTTATCAATTGAGTGGCTGTGCTCTACCCATAAATGGAAATTCACATCTTCACATTCATTAGGACCGATATCATCAAGGAATACTGTTTGTTTAAAATACTGTAATCGATAATTTGAGATTCATCGTGTTTTACGAGAGAAAGATATTATCAATCAGCTTCATACACCTTTTGTATTAATTCAAGAATAATAAACAATGATGGTTATTCTGGTTATTTGAAAATTCAATGGTGTTTTTGTGACTTGGCGAGGTTTTCATTTTTTTTTAGACCTGTGGGTGTTCTAATGTCAATTTACCCCAATTTTCTCTTTGTTAATCGTTTAAATTGTTAAACTATAATTAATTATTAATTGATAGAAACTGGAAAAAGTGGTCTTTTTTCGTTTTCGAAATGATAAACCTTTTTAGGGCAGGGGAAGGAATTTCCTTGGGAAGTTATGGGTTCGATAAAAGGGCCATTCACTTAAAAGTACACGACTGACGCATCACAGAGCATTTCATTAATTTTTATTTGAATCCTGTTGCAATTCATTCGTCCTTACTATGCATAGAAAAGACATTATATTCGGAGCAAACACAAAGTTTTTATTGATTCACTCCCGCACTCGTAAAAAAAATGTATACATTCTCGAAAGAAAATGAAAGAAAAGCAGAATCAGAATGAAAGATAAAATTTACAATGCCAAGATATCGAGGAGATATTGATTTCTTTCATTACAATCGTGTAATTATATTATGCGGAGAATAATATAAATTGGTGGTCAACTCCCAATTGAGAGTAAGTATTTCACAGTGTGATCAATATAAATTTGTAACAGGACCGCAAAATTGATTATGTTATTATAAAATCGAAGGGAGGGAAAAAAATAAACGAGATGGAAAATATTCTAGAGGCCTATCCCAATATTAAACTCTATCTACTTAAGTGTTCGACCGAATGTCAACCAAAACTGTACTTTTAATATTTTACAATGAAATCATGATTGAAAATAAAAGTGTAGCTCGATGAGTAGAACCTACTGCTTACAAAAGAGAATATTATCAATGAACAAGCGAATAAATTATACCGAGTGTTCTTCCTTTACTTTTCAAATTTGCTACACTTGTCAAATTCACTTAAATGCATTCCTTAAATAAAATCGATTTTTACGTAAATAATAATTATCAACTAAGCGTTATCAGTTTAATGAAACGATTATTATTGGACTGCAGCTCGTCAACTAACACTGACGAAACAATCCAATTCACATTGTATTTCTTTTCCTTTTTTTCATTCTACGATAACAAATGTTCTCCATACAAAAAGTGATTTTTTCATCAAATTTGTCCATTCAACTTTTGCTGATATTTTACGCCAAATGTACAGATAATAAATAGAGGAAAATTGTGATTTTTCGTTTATTGGTACGTATTATATGTAGCGTTTCCCATTTTTTTAAATTTTCTTCATTTTTCATCGATCTTCTCAATCATCTGTTAATTCTTAGGTCCTTACCTAGTGAAAATTCAACTAGTCATTGTGATTCCCACAAAAATAAAATTACATCGCGCAAATAATTGGTTTTCTATCATCCTTTTGGTCAATTTCGGTTGCGCCACGGTTTATCATCCAGAAACCAGCTCTGCAGCGATTTAAGCTGAAATCCAAGAAACGAAAATAAATCCACGATAACCAATGAAGAAATAGCAATAATATTCATTAGATCTTCACAAACCTTGTGGTGGTTGTCCTGGCACGGAATACTGTGGCCTGAAGTTACCGAAGTTAGCAGCACCAGCGAATGTCGCTTGCAATTGACCACCCGAGAAACCAGCTGGAAATTGTTGAGCCAGTAGTGCAGCCTGTCCAGTTTGACTGCTGCCACCTCCAGGTGCTGTTGCTGCCAATCGACTGAGAATCGAGCGCTCAGACATCTGGAGACGCTGTGCAACAGGTGGAATTCGTGCAAGAGTAGCTGGCAGACGAGATACATCTGATTTCATGTCCGAGAGAAGCTCCTCCAGCTGATTGAGCACCTTGTGGAGTACAGCATTGGCTGGTTTATTGCCAGCCAGACTCTCCTTGCTGAGATGCTGATGAGACTCAGCAAGACACTCGACCTCAGCGAATCTAGCATTAAGACTCATTGCTGGATGATTTGGATCCTGTGTGAGGTTCAGGTAAGCTGCTCTTCTCAGCTGTTCCTCGATTACGAGGGCCTGCTCGAGAAGCTTGAAACGTCTTGCCAAGAATTTATTCTTAATCTCGAGGAAGTTGCCCTTTCCAACATCCATCTTGAATGGTTCGTTGATTATAGCAAATCTTATGTCATTCTGGATGTCCTGCCAGCGGCCGTAGCCATGAGTAACGATACCAGCAAGTAGCCAATAATCATGTCTTCTGTGCCATATTTCGTACTCTCGACCAGGCACTGCTGCCTTTTCCTCGTTTAGCCACAGAGTGTGGAGCTCTGTAAAACCTCCATCAGCAATATTAAACATGAATTTACGTTTTGGCTTGATCTCCACTTCTGTATCCTTGGTCTCCTTCTCCTTGCTGTCTTTATCGTCCTTCTTATCAGCATCTTCTTCATCATCTTTTACAATAACAACGTCCTCTTCAGGCTCGATCTTCGCCTTGGATTCACCGTCAGCCTTGTCATCGGATTTAACCTTTTCAGTTTTACTGTCCCCTGATTTTTCCTTCTCCTTATCGGATCCCTCAGAATCCATAGTCTTCTCCTCTTTCTTGTCCTCTTCCTTCGGTTTAATGTCCTTATCACTAGCTGCATCAGGTGTTTCCTTGGCTTCATTTGGCTCTTCCTGTGGTTCCTTAATCTCTGATCCCGATTCCTTGTCCTTGGCATCTTCCTTTGTCTCTTTGCCGTCCTCTTCTATCGAGGATTTTGTCTCACTAGAATTGACAGCACCAGACGCTGAAGCTGAGGAATTCGTGGTAGTGTTGATGGATGGTGATGTGCTGGAAGGAGCCGCGGTCGATGTGGGACTTGGGGTGTTAGCTGTTGCTGTTGTACTGGTGCTCGTTGCTGTGCCACTCTCAGGGGCTATTGTAGTTGTGCCTGATGAAGCAGCAACTGCTGCTGCTACTGCTGTCACACCACCCTCAGACTTCACTGGTTCTACTGGCTTCCTAATCATCTCAGGCATCGAGTAATATCCATTAATATGCTCAAACTCCTGGACTTTCTTTCGTATGAGTGACATCACACCGATTCGTGTGAGAACATGCTGACGGCTGAGTCCCTCTCTGGGAACTCCATCAGCAAATGTCTCTGCATTGTCAGCTCCTGGTTCACACAAGTGTCTCATGAAGAGGGAGACGTAGGCCTTGAAGTTCTTTTCCGATTTTCCCCTTAGGTCTCGCACCAACCTACAGATAGAAGCAGTCCAGACTATAATTCTCATTCTGGCTAAGTTTTTATCTATATTTAGAGAAAGGACGTCAGCATCCCGGTGGATTAATCCTGTCAACTTACCATTGAGAATTAAATGCATCCTGGGGCGGCATTCCATACCGCATGATTGCATTGAGAAAGGCCTTTCGTTGTCGCGCGTTGAAGCCAAGAACCTAAAAAATTCAACAAGCAATAGGCATAAGTAAATATTTGTAATGATGCGATTGAAAAATTGAAAAAAAAACAGCCACTGCTCACTAGGAGAATGAAACAAACCTCAATATTCCCATTAACCCTGGCAAGCAGTGGTGGCAATGGCCTGTCCTTCTCATCACGTCTCTCCAATCGTCGTCTACTCCGTCTCGACAGCAAATCACCATCCCCTTTCTCATCAAAGTCATCATCTTCCTTGTCATCATCACTCGGTGCACTGAAATCACTGTTATAATCAGAGAGATTCTCCTGCCAGGGTTGATCGTCTCGTGCTCCCTGATCCCCAGTGACACCACCATCATTGTAATTGACCTGTTTACGCACACGTTTACCCTTGCCAAGTGTCCTAGCAATATCTTCTTGCTGCTGTTCATAGTGATGCCTCAGAAGTTTAATCCAGTAAGCTGGATCTGTATTCTCAGCCTCCTGCTTGATAATTTCGGTATCAGCTTCCTCTTCAGTTTCTCCCTCCTTGGTAACGTAAGAGGCGACTTTGAATGAACTTAAGTACTCGTTTGCCCAATTTTCTTTCTGCTCAATACCCTCTTTACTGCGATCAAGGAGCTCAGCGACTGCCTTATCGTCATAATGAATAGCCTCATCCTCTTTGCCCTCCTCTTCCTTGAACAGCTCTTCAGTACCAAAACGCAGGATATCATCGAGCTCTTGTTTACTGAAATTAGCACCTTTACCTCCCATTCCAGGTCTCACTACCAAATGAGTCAACATCATCTTTCGTTTGGCAACTTGGGTTACACGCTCCTCCACGGAATTTCTCGTAACGAATCGATAGATCATGACCTTGTTGGCTTGACCAATTCTGTGGGCACGAGAGAATGCCTGTATGTCGTTGTGGGGATTCCAGTCAGAATCATAAATTATCACAGTGTCAGCTGTTGCCAGATTAATACCAAGGCCACCAGCACGAGTTGACAGCAAAAATACGAATTGTTGTGCACCAGGTGCATTGAATCTGTCGATAGCTTCTTGTCGTTGAGTACCAGTGATATTACCATCGATCCTCTCGTACTTGTAGCCCTCACCCTCGAGATAATCCTCCAGTATATCCAACATTTTTGTCATCTGCGAGAAAATGAGGACCCGGTGGCCATCATCTCTCAATTTTTTCAGCATTCTACTCAAGAGAACGAGCTTACCAGCGGCTTTTATCAGCGCAGAGCTCTCATAATTTCCATTTGGGCCAGTTGGTGCCTCTTGGGATGCAGCGGGGAATAAGTACGGGTGATTACAGCACTTCTTCAAGTCCATCATGATATTGAGAAGGGAGACCTGCTGGCCACCGCCTTTTGGATTGAGTGCCTCGAAGTTTCTCGTTAAAATGTACTTGTAGTATTTCTTCTGCATTGGAGAGAGCTCAACACGTACGATGAACTCCGATTTACTTGGCATATTCTTGAGTACATCTGCCTTCAATCTTCTCAACATATGGGGTCCCAACATCTCATGAAGTTTCTTCACTTGCTCCTCCTTCGAAATATCAGCAAATTCATTTTGGAATGCAGACAGATCGTTGAATTTATCTCGACAGAGGAAATTCAAAAGATGGAAAAGCTCCTCGAGATTGTTCTGCAGAGGTGTACCAGTGAGCAATAATTTATAAGCAATGCTGTATGACGCCAGTAGCCTGAAGAACTTGGACTGATTGGACTTGAGCCTGTGTGCCTCATCCACCACCAGTACAGCCCAGTCAATAGATCCTAAGCAGGCAGAGTCAATTGAAATGAGCTCATAACTTGTCAGCAAAACATTGAATTTAATTTGTGATGAGCGAATTTTGGAGGCACGACCTGAACGCACAGCCCCTTCCTCAAATGACAATTCATTCTCACGAATGACTATTCGACTGTCTTTATCACCGACATATGTAACACAGTAAAAATCAGGTGCCCAAGTCTCAAACTCACGTTCCCAATTGATAATAGTGGATAGGGGAACAGAAACGAGAAAAGGTCCCTTGCAGTGTCCCTCTTTGTAAAGTGAATAGAGAAAAGTGATTGTTTGAATGGTTTTTCCCAAACCCATCTCATCAGCGAGAATTGTGTCAATTCCCTGTCCCCATGAGTATCTCAACCAGTTGAGACCTTCGAGCTGATACGGATGGAGCTGCATGCCAGTGATGTCGAGATAATCTGGCTGTCTCTCGTATTTTTTCTTGAGATCAGTGGTAGGTTTGTCAGGAGGTGGAGTATAACGCCGAGGTGCACGCTCTTCATCGTCAATGAGCTCACGTGTCTTGGATTTTTTCCCTTTTCCCTTCTTCCCTTTTCTGGATGAAGTCCCCTCTAAACTGTTAGCAGCTCTTAGATCCTGATAGTAATCAATGGCCTGTTTCAGCCCAGGAATATCCTCGTGCTCGTCTTCCCATGTCGCCTGATCGTATCCCAACTCTCGCCATTTGACGAGATAAGAGGCTCTTCCATCGCGTTGATAACGATGATTTATCACTCTGTGAACCACCAGCCACTCTGGACGAACACCATAACGATAGAATCTCTCTTCCAATGCTATCTCGTCACGATTAGTCGCACCATCGGCGTCGCGCAGACGTTTCACTCGATTGTCACTCTCATCTAGGGGTTCCTCTAGTTTTGGGGGTTCGTCCATGTCGTATTTTCGAGAGTAATTTCTGAACATGAGGGGATGGAACACGTCCAGCTGGAGTTCAGTTGCCCAGTCGCAGTGCCAGTATGACATATCCGCCCATTTGACGAAGAACTCACGAGTTCTTCGGGGTTTGGGTGCTGCTTTGCTGGTGGATGGCTCCTCCGAGGGACTGTCTGAGCTCTCTTTCCATCTCCAGGTCAATATCTTGGCAACTTTACCCATCAGTGGGGGGCAAGAACATCTCGGACATTTCCAATCTCCATCGGGTATCTCGGAAAGTGGAGGATTGAGACAGTGCGTGTGATAGGCACTTGTGCAGCTGTCGCAGCAAAGGAGTTCACCACCGTCTTTGCATACACGACAAAATTCCATGTGCTCGTCGTCATCGTCAGCAGCACCTTTAAATCATTGCCGTGCATTTTAATTCTTCATTGAAAGTATTATAATTGATGCGTAATAATTGGAGTTGAAATAAAAATGGCATCCTTCCCTTCCGGGCTCAGAGTGGAGGACTCAAATAAAATGAAAATTCTAATGGGGCGGATGTAGGGATAGGAATTTTTATGTAAGGTACCTGAAATACCTTCGCCTTCGCAGTGTGGACAACTCCATTTGCCCTCTGGTGTTTCCTCTAGCTCTGGCTCAAGGCATACCAAGTGGTAAGCCCTTGGACACGTGTCGCAGAGAATAATCTCACCACCTTGTTGACAAACCTCACAGTAATCCTGATGATCAGTCTGCTGAAATGATAATTGGCAATTAATTAAGGAGTTCAGGTGGATTTTTATGAATACGAGAGAATTCTGCTGAAATACTTTCCTCGCCATCTGGAAATTTGGAAGTCGTTTTGGTCTTCTTTTTCTTCTTAGTCTTGTTACCAATCTTGGTTTTGGCCTTCCTGCGAACTGGTGGCTCCACTGGTTGCTCAGGTGCAGCGTCTTCGTGACCTTTAGCACTTCCCTCACCACCTGGTGCCTCTTCCGCATCAGCCAGCATCTGTTCAAACTCCATGTCAGAGTCCCTGTCAGAGCCTGCCACACTGCCTTCAGCCTCTTCATCCGAGCTTCCACGTTTACGTTTGCCCAACTTAATCTTGAGTGTTGGTACTTTCGACGCCTTTTTACCCTTTTTAGCCCTCGATCCACGTGATTTTCTTTTACGATCGCTGTCCTCATCCTCGTCCTCGTCGTCGTCAATCTCCTGAACTGGTGCACCACGACTCGATCTAGCACTTCTGTTCTCCTCATCGGCATTCGACATGGATACCTCACCGTCGGGCTGAGTATGAGGATTGAGCACGAGGAAGTCACGCCATTTAGCTGCCACCAGCATCATGAGCTTTGACATTGGTACTCTGGGATTCTCTTTAGCCAATGCCGGTCTCACGTGCTGTTGGAATAATTTGTAACCGGTTAAATTCTGAAAATCTGCATCAGTGTACTCAATTGGCACATCCGTCAGGCCAAATGTACTGCAAACTTCCTCAATAGTTGGCATTCCAGTGGCTGGCTCCTGGCTCTGTGCTGTTGACGCACTGTGACTCGACGATTTTCTAGACGATGATTTTCTGCTCTTGCGATTGCTCGCATAATCACTGTCCTCACCCCCACCATCAACAACCTCACCACCACCACCCCCATAATCACTCTCATCCCCAGAGTCTGATTTTTTCTTCTTTTTCTTCTTCTTTCCCTTTTTATCCTCACTCCTGGCTTTTCGCTTCTTTCCCTTTTTCTTTTTACGCTCCTCTGGCTCGTAGTCGTCATCCTCCTCCTGGCAAAATCCACAACTCATTAATGCCATCATTTTACGTAATACAAAATTGAAAACACCAATCTTCAACTTACGAGTCTCTGAGATTCTTCAGCATCCGACGAACCGTCTAGGGGTTGAGCGACATTCGCTACAGCTGCACTCGACTCCTCCACGTCATCTTCCCCTGAAATTATTCAGTCATTACTAATTAATTATGAATGAGTCAGAGAAATTTGAGGCATTTGTCATAGAGGACGGTATTTTCGCGTGATTCTTCAAATGTGAAATAATTTTCGGAAAATTCACGGGGAAGGAAGTGAATTTCTGGAGGAAAAAGGAAAATATCATTTTTTAGTTAATCAGCGTCTCATAAATGCTTTGTGCAAGTGTGCGGTCGCCGCCATTTTCTTTGGAAGGGCGAACGTACTACCACTCTATCTCCTTTTCTTTCACACAATATTTTGCCAGTCTCTGAACTTGACATTAAAAAAACCAAAGAAAAAAAATTTCTTCGAAAATCCAGAAATCAAAATAATTGCTTTATGCAAATGATCATTTTATCTCCACCTGTTTTCTCATTATGGATTAATGCACTTTTGTCAATCACACATAGACAAATGTACATGCATGTATATATTTGTGTATATATCGGGAAATGTGACCAGATAGTATATAAGTATATGAGAGAATTTTTGGAGGAGAAAAGGAAATCTAGAGGAGAAAAATATGTTTCCGTGGCGGATTGAACTGCGATATTGGATACAGGCCAATTTGTATTAAACCATTCAATCTGTCTGCTCTGGAGATTATTAATACCTGTAGTAGCCTAATTACATCTCGGGTGAATAACAATTTTCTCCTTTTTCCAAACTTCATTCCCTCCCAGACAAAAGGTTCTTGAACCCTCGTGGTGCATGCAATTCGTGAACTCTGTTGACTCAATAAATAAATGAACTCCTAATAAATATACCATAAACATTTTCAAACAACGCCAATGTGCAATAACAACTAAAAACAACAAATAACGCTCCATCAAAAAAATGAAGGATAAATCACCGAAGAAGAGCTCTCAAATCGATACATGATAATACAAAGGAAAATCAGGGGATAAAACAAGGGATAAAAAATTGGTTGGAGGTCGACACGAGAGAGTAGTAATGGTGCACCAGTTTTCTCAGTACCCAACGATTTGACAAGAAATAAAAAAAAAGGCATGACTACGAAAATCCGGAGCATCACACTAACAACGGGATAACACCGGAGCCTGCAATTACATAAATTCTCTATAAATCATGAGTTAAAATGGCAATTAATTAATTGGAGTTATTGAAATAATGAAAAATTGCAAAGGACCAATTGACATGGCAGCCATAGTACGAAAAGCGCGCGTCCTCCCCTGCACTGAGAAAAAAAATTCACTCCAGCCAATGAAACCCCAATTCCATCCCCAAACGCTGAACAAATTCTCCGACAAATTGAAGCGACATAAATAAATGGTGTTTTTTTTCAAATGATAGATATGCCAAAAATCGAGACTATTTATTTGGGGGGGAATAATTTTTTTTTTTCCCAGTGTGCGTGTAACCGAGTGCTTGGTGCCGGACGAGAGCAAGCCTTCCTTCCTTTTTATTTTATTTTTTTTTTCTCATCCACTAATCATCCCTTTATTACGAATAAATGGACATACCTGCGTAACTCTCCTCTACCTCCTCATCTGACGCCATCGCCAATACACCTTATTTGTTATTTAGACCACTAATTACTGACAATTAAACGACAAACGTGGATAAAAACGGCGGGTAAATGCGACATTAACGGCGTTACTAGATGCTCACGCTGCCTCTGTAAAATGTTCGGAACACTTCGGCAGTGAGTATTCGGCGTTCACCTTCGGCTGCTTCGGCTTTTTCGTTCAAAATCACCAACACCAACAGCTAAATATCAACGGTACGACACGTACACTATTTCAATAGTGTGTGTGAGCTTGGCTCTCACAGTTTCACCTTGGCTGCGGTTACTACCGTACTGCAGGCCTCTCTCTTTCTCAACGTACTTTGTACTACTATACCCTCTTCTTTTCGTATTCCCCTCGTCATACCACCCCCTCCATCACCAACAATTCATTCGACACTTGCCCCCCCCACCCCCCTCTTTTTTCGTTTTCGTCCCACCCTGGACACCCCTAGATTACTATTTTACACCATATCCTACACCATATTGCACTCTCCGCTGTATTTTTTTCATTTTTTACAAATCAAATTTTTGGTATTTGTGTTATTTACTATTTTTACCACAAATTATTGGTGTCATTAGCTGTGGGATTTTCTTTCTCCCTTTTGGAGATTTGTATGGCTCTCCAATTCTGAATGGATGACAAGTATTTAGCAAGAGTTTTTCCAGGAATTCAGTGCAGGTGCACATTTACAAAACCATGGGATGAACGCCTGTCGCGAGGGCAATGTATTCTCGAAAAATGTATTCAAATGAGGAAGTAAAAAAAATACTCGGTTCATATTTTCAGATAAGACTTGCAGTTATTATTTAAGATTCTTCCGTATTGCATTACATGGCATTATTTTTATTGCTGCAACTATTTACACCATTGCTGTCTTGAATAACTCATCGATTAGTGAATGTTAATTTATTTATTTCAGAGCAAGCACTTGTCCTCTTTCCAGAAAGAACGTTGAAACCATAATTGAACTAATTCTTTTGAACTTAATCGAAATAAATATAACATACGCATTACATGTGATACAAGAATATTCTCGTTAATATTAATCTGCTGACAAATGTTCATATAGTACAATAAGAACGAAGCTGTTACATTTTTTCTATGGCATGAGAGGTCTACATTTTTCCTTCAGTTCAAGCGTTTTATTTTCTCAATTAAATCCTGCTCGAATGGCTATTTAATAAATGTACATGATATTCTGGCCAACAGCGCTCCCAAGTCATTAATTTATTGGCAATTAGTAATCATTTGATAAGATAGAAAGAGATTGAGAAAATTGGCCGTAGGAGTATAATGTTATAGGCTGTACGACTGGAATGCGTGATTCGACCGAAGAAAAATAACAACAAAGGTTGACATCTGGGGATTTAATTTCAACCATAATCAACACTCAGGGCACTCAGCCCTTTTATTTTTATAGCTTCTGCAACTGCTCGTTCCAAAAAATCCTGCTCATCTCCTCCGTCATCAATTTTATCCCTCATATTCTCCTGGCAATTGTCAACACCACTAGGTGATGTCTTTGAAGAGGTAGCAGCTAGTGGAATGCCAAAGTTTTTAGACTCATCTCTCTCCAAGGAATTGGAAAAACTCTGATAGATATCATTTCCCTCGTCCTCCAACTGTCCAGAGTGCACCAAGCCGTGATTTCTTATGGCCATCATTACAGCAGTGTCTTCCATGTCAGTTCCACGAAATAATCGAAACTGGGAGGCATCAGCTTGTGGCCCCAGAATGTAATTCTCCATCACGCGATTTATGGTGTTGTCGACAAAACCCTTGGCTACCTGACAAGCTTGCCATCTGCGAAGCTGCTCCCTTATCAATTTTTCAGTCAATTCGTATTCAGTTTCAGGTGCAGTGTCAGAACCCTTGGAATCCTGAACCGTTTGATGACTCTGGAAAACAATAAAATTCAGATTAATCACGTGCTAATTGATAGCATACATTACGTAATTAAATCGTGTGTACCATTTCATCATGACTGTTTACAATTTTCATGCATTGTCTCTTAGCTGGTGCAGGTCTCTCGTGGTCCTCAGTATCAGACTCCTTCACATCCGTGGCCATTTTACCATTCAGTTATTGTTAATATAAGATAAATAATCTCGCCCTCTCATCCAAACAATATAGTGTTATTTAAAATAACGACACAATCGTTAACTGGCCACTCGCTTCAATCATCAGCAGTTAGGAATACATTTTTTTTCTCTCATGCGTAATTTTCTTTTATCTCAGTCAAAACTCACTGCAATTGTCATTGGCAAATAAAAACATTCCCTTGTAAATATCTGGAGAAATAATACTGTTGATTTTTTGAAAAATTTGCCTTGTCTATTGCGCAAGCGATTGAAAATTAATGAAAATATATAGGTATGTTAATTCACTGGATGAATCAAAACATTGGCTGATAGGGAGTAAACGTCAATGCAGGTCGTACGTACTGCGACTCTTTGCACACATGCATCGTGCAATCACACGAAAATTCTTGTGCCCCCTTGACAGCATCAAGATGGCGAGGTATTTTCAACAATAAAATAGCATTGAGGCATTTTTATTATTTGAGATATCGAGCCTCGAGCATTTCAATCTCATGGATGGTTTTCCCTCTTCCGATGTATCCTCAACTACTAATTATAAATTCCCACAAAGTTCGGGCCGAAAGACACAGACACACACAAACGCAGGATAAATGAACTCCAAGTCATTACACACGTTCAATTCCACCTCTGTACTCTTCCTAAAATTTCCAAGATGGCTACCACATAGACATGTGTCTGTCTGTTAAAAATTTTCTACAAATCCTTTTGAAATAATCACTTTATTTCTACGTAGATATTGTAATACACAAGGACCATCATTTATTGTATATAATTAATTAATTAATAGGCGTAAGTGACAGGTATTGTCAACTCAATTGAGTATGGCAGCGTGTGGTGATTATATCAGAAGTCAATTTCCAAGTATAGACGACGAGTTGTATCATTATGTCGAGGGTACTGTCAAATGATAACCTCTGAATTAATTTGTCCTTCTTGTTTTATTGGGGTATCAATGCTTTCAGGTATTCTTGATAGTTCAAAGGATGATTTTGAGGATGGAGAGGAGGTGTATGAGGCCATTGGACAGGTGTTGCACGAGGTAGCTGATAAACCTGAAAAAGAGGTTAGGTCTGTACACTTTATCACAATTATTTTCCATTTTTTCTCGTAGAGAATGACACTTATGGATTTACACCTGAATATTTTACAATATCGATATGGGGATTTAAATATATGTAATTCATGTATTATATATATGACCGGGATTTAATATTTTTATAACCAACAGGCAAATATGCGAGACACTCCTGGCGATGTTGAAAGGCACTTCCAACGGTGAAGAGGGAAATATCCACGAAAAACGTCAGAATGGCATGAATAAAGTTCTGAATGCTCCAGTTCATTTAGGTGCTATGGCAGCAACTCTGGAGGAACAGGTCGAACAAATTAAGAGTATTTGGGTGACGACGAGGGATGACACGATGAAAGTAGACGCAAAGAAACTGGAAAAAGCAGAAGCCAAACTCCAGCAGAAGCAGGAGAAACGAACTGGTCAGGATTCTAATCCCAGGAATAATTTAGTAGCAAATCAGTCAGGAGACACAGCCAGTGCCAGTCAGATGATGAGCAAAAAAGAGAGCAGGATGGAGAGCAAAGGGGGAACCAATAAAACTCAGGACATCAGGATTGAGAATTTCGATGTTGCATATGGAGACCGAGTGCTGCTCCAGGGCGCTGACTTGACTCTGGCATTTGGTCGTCGTTATGGTTTGATAGGACGAAATGGTCTTGGCAAAACCACGCTCCTGCGGATGATTTCGAATAAACAGTTGAGGATACCATCGCATGTTCGTGTGCTGCATGTTGAGCAGGAAGTAGCTGGTGATGACACGTCAGCTCTTAATTCAGTTCTTGAATCTGATACTGAGAGGAGTGCATTGTTGAGCCGTGAGGCAGAACTCCAGGCGTTGATTGAGAAAGAAGGAGGGAAGAATGATACGTTGGGTGAGGAACTGGCGAAGGTATATGAAGCAATGCAGACAGCCGAAGTGGAGAAAGCACCGTCAAGAGCTGGTGCAATTCTCTCGGGTCTGGGATTCTCGGTGGAGAGACAATCCTGGCCGACCAAAGCCTTCTCAGGTGGATGGAGAATGAGATTGGCGTTGGCAAGAGCTCTCTTCTCCAGACCTGACCTCTTGTTACTCGATGAACCCACCAATATGTTAGACATCAAGGCAATCCTCTGGTTAGAAAAATATCTCCAATGCTGGCCGACTACTTTACTCGTTGTCTCTCACGATCGAAACTTCCTCGACACTGTTCCCACTGATATTCTGTACCTTAAGGGACAGAAGATCGAGGCATATCGGGGCAATTACGAACAATTCGAAAAGACCAAGGGTGAACGAGAGAAAAATGCTCAGAGGGAATACGAGGCGCAACAAGCTAAACGAGCACATGTTCAGGAATTTATCGATCGTTTTCGGTACAACGCCAATCGTGCCTCCAGTGTCCAGAGTAAGATAAAAATGTTGGAGAAATTACCCGAGCTCAAAGCTGTTGAGAAAGAGGCCGAAGTTACCCTCAGGTTTCCCGATGTCATGCCCCTGAGTCCACCGATATTACAACTCAATGAAGTATCATTTCGTTATGAATCATCGAAAAATGGTGATTTTATATTCACTGGTGTCAATCTCACTGCTACACTGCAATCACGTATCTGTATAGTCGGTGAGAATGGGGCGGGCAAAACGACATTGTTGAAAATAATAACCGGAACATTGAGCCCAACCCGTGGCACTATTCACATCCATCGTAATCTTAAGTTCGGCTACTTCAGCCAGCATCACGTGGACCAGCTGGACATGACTGTGTGTCCAGTGGAATTACTGCAAAATCATTTTCCAGGTAGATATGACGAAAATTATTAATTCAATCAGAATTTATTCAATTAAGTCATTGAATTACAGGAAAGCCAACAGAAGAATACAGGAGAATGCTCGGTAGTTTTGGAGTCAGTGGAGATCTTGCCCTGCAGACAATTTGCTCTTTGTCTGGTGGACAGAAATCCAGAGTTGCATTTGCCCTGATGTGTGCAGCGATGCCCAATTTCCTCGTTCTTGACGAACCCACTAACCATCTCGATATCGAATCGATAGAGGCACTGGGCAGGGCTCTGAACACGTGTCAGGTAGATATAACAAAATTGTTGCCTCTTGGTAGCAGCATTTTAATTTTTCATTTGATCTGTTCACAGGCTGGTGTAATTCTCGTGTCCCACGACGAACGTCTGATCAGGCTAGTGTGTACAGAGCTCTGGGTCTGTGGTCAGGGCTCAGTGCGCTGTATCGAGGGTGGTTTCGACGAATACCGCAAAATAATAGAAAAAGAACTCGAGGGTTGACGATGATTTTACCGAGACCATGCAAATTCAATTCTCACCACTGTGTATTTAAATATCGGAGGCATTGCCCGTGAATATTACTGCCTAAAGTCAGGCTCTTAGGTAATTGCATGTAGGTACGTTTCTACAGATGATTTTGAAAATTAAAAATTATTATCTATTTAATAAAAAAAAAACCAACATCAGCAATGAAACATTATGACAATTACTGAATTAATAAGAAATTGTTATCTGACTACGTAATGTAATTATGATCTGTTTAATAGTATTACAAGTTTACTGGTCGTTCTAAATGACTATTTATATTTATAAATTATACATTTGGCGATTAACGCATAAACTCAACAATCTTGATAAATCTTCGTCAATGTTGAGTTTTATTTGCAACGAATATCAGTGGAAATAGTGTTATATACAAAATAACAGATACCCTCTGGTGATTCTTAATTGAAAGATTAGTCATCAACACGCTGAGGATGCTGCATTGGATGGCCACTCTTTACCCCCAGCTGAAGCATTCAATTGAATCATGGTACTGGGTGTGGGACTCGATTGCAGAGGTGGTGCCGGTGCTTGTTGCTTTGCCGCTGTAATTTATCGTTTTCTCATTGTTTTTTTTTTCTCTAAGAATTTCGATTCTCTTTTCTTCTCAATCCCAAATGTTTTCGGAGACACATGCTTGTATGTGATAGCGGGAGTGTCATTAGATGCTCATGATGCAGACAGAATAGAATAAAATGATAAAACGATGAATGTTAAAGAATTATTCAGACTGATTGAATCATTCATTGAAACTGAAAAAAAGAAAATATGAGGAAGGGAGTAGAGTGCATTTGCATATGAATAACTAGATTCAGTCGTGCATTCGCAAATCAAGTTAAATGAATCCATGTATTAAGCCCATGCGTTACAAAGCTCATTTACAAATCATTATGATGAAATAAAAAAGAAAAGAACATTCATTTAACACTGCCACATTCAATAATTGTTATTAAATATCAAATTGGCAAGAATTACGTTTTAGTGTGAATCCAAATAACGACTGATTGTTAGTCTCACCATTTTTACTATTGTAGAGCTTTGGTACACCCCGGAATTGCTCTGGCGATGGGAACGTTGCTATCGAGTGAAATTGATCAATAAATCGCGTTTCCAGGTCGTGAATATTACCGATAGACTGCGATTGACCATTGGATAACGATAGATTGCGGGTCGGCGGTGTGGGTGGAGGTTGAGGTGCAATTCTTTGATGAGTTGCATTGGAGCGATGAGGGGGTGGTGGAGGTGGTGGTGGCATACTTGGGGCTGTAACGCAGGTTCTTGAGGGAGGAGGTGGTGCTGTTCGCATAACTGGAGTGGCATTTGAGGCACCACTTGGATTTCTTGATGTTGGGGGTGAGGGTGGTCTGGCAACTGGTGGCCTCAACACTCGATTCATTGGCCTCTGGTGTGTCTCATTGAGACAGTCCTGGGACTGGTGGAGTGATGATGAATTTGGAGCTAGTACTGGAGGTGATCTCGGTAGTCTCATGCTCTGGGCCCTTGATACACCACCTCCACGAAGCAAATCGAGTTTCTTTGGTGGTGGGCAGGGTTTTTGGAGGGTTGATGAACCCGAAATTATGGCTGGCGATTGGCCTGGGGGCTTTGGTGCTAGGGTCGGCTTGCCAAAGCCCCCCATCTTCGTTAGCTCTGGAGAACTCTCCGTCTGAATCATCTGCGGCTTTTGAGCTGCTGGTGGAGGCACTGGCGGTGGGCCACGTTTAATCGTCCCAGATGATGAATTACTTGGAGGACTTGGTGACGTTTCTTTATCAACTATTGCTCCCCTCAAACCTGTTGGCTTCAATTTTGGCATTCCTCCTGCGAATAAACCACCTAGACCCATGGGTCCACTGCTGGTATTTGTATTTGTATTATTAATACTTGTGGAAAAGCCCGGGGCTGCTGGGGAGTTTGGGCTTGAGCCATTCTTTACTTTTCCTGGAAATTGGAAAGTGATATATTTTTTTTAATGAGACAGGGGGGGAAGAACAACCAGAATATTTACCTGAGATTGCTGGCGCACTCTTATCAACAGTAACTGTTTTTTTCAACTGCTTTCCAGCTCTAATTGACTGTAATAATTGATTTCTACCCTGTGGATCCGTGCTGGGTGCACTGCTTATGTTAAAAGCTGGAGGTGGTGGAGGTGGTGGAGCCGACATTGTTTTTTATTATTCCAATCTACATAAATTAAAATTCAAATGATTACTGAAAGTCCGATTGTGCTGTATCATATTATGATCGATGATGATTAATCCACTCAAACTGAAAAGGATCTACAGCTGACTCACGATTCAATGGGAGTGTCTAAACAGAATATCTTTATCAATACCACTGTCTTTCATGCAAGAGCCTCGTCGATTGTCCATCGAATTTGTCAAAATCAACAAAATCATTAACAATTAATTAGAACCTCTGAATGCTATTCCAATCGATCCATCATTTTTCACAAAAAAATAATGATGGAGGCATGAAGATTTCTATATTTCTTCAGGACTTATACATTTATTTAATTTATCTGGGCTATTTACCTCCCACAGAGTTGAAATTTTGCCTTGACAGGGAAATTGGAGCAATCACTTCCAACTGTACTTCAAACTGCCCAGTCCCTGGACATTTTCACACTCGCTCCAATAATTTCCACTTGTTAAAACATTAATCTTTCACTTTTTTTTAATAGTCTTCCAATTTCAACGAGGAAAATTACGGTGAAATTCGAGGGAAACGTACATCCTACACACAAGGCTTTTAATGGAGATTAACTCACGTCTTCCTTGATCACCCACGATGCTACGACATTGCATCGCTTCCCATGAAAGAACACTAGTTTTATCAAGAGGCAAAAGGTGCGCCACAATCGTTTCACAAAACATTATCAAACTTGGAGATTAATCATTGGATATTTTAACATTTTACTGTCTTTATTTTGTTGTCTGTCCAGGAAAATCTCATCCTCTATCAGCGACTGTCATCGGGACAAGTCATATCTCTCAAATTGGAGCCACAGCTTTCATCTTAATCTCGGAATTTATATCCACATTTTCGCGCCATCGTTTTCTATTCGGCCACGTACTAACACACCAGTCACACGATTCATACACAATTATTCCCTCAATACAGGCATAAACAGTCACAACGTGGCAAGTCACTGACAATATTGCCAGTGGTTGATTCCCTCAGCGAATTTTGTTATCCTTATCAGTATTTTATGAAAGAGAAAACTATCGTATGACACAATATTTGATTGTTTACTGGTGAATATATTGCTGGACTGAACAGCTGATTTTTTCGTGAAGTGATTATTTGAGAGATTATTTAGCAGCTGAAAGGATTACTGTTGAAAATTACGCCTGGAAGAAATGAATATTCGTCGAGTGCTTTCAGTAGTAATTAGAAGTGAAGAATATACTGTATAACATAAATCCAAGGCTTGACAGCTAATGATTCATAGAGAAAAAAAATCACGTATGTCAGTTGGTATCCAGTGAGTTTTACATTAATTTATGAATAATTAAATGGATGAGCAGATTGAATGATTCCAGGTTAATAAAATTCAACGGCTGTTACAATGAAACGTAAAAATGATAGACAGGATTCAATAGAGCATGGTCAGCTGGAGTCCAATGGGGATCACGAACCAGGAAATATTCGTGGAGACGAGGGCAACATTGCACTCCTCCTATTTTTGTATTTACTCCAGGGAATTCCTCTTGGTCTGTGCAGTGCAATCCCCATGATACTTCAAAATAGCCACGTCTCTTATAAACAACAGGTGCAGAAAGTTATTAAAATTATAACTTGACATCTGCAGCAATTATTCACTATTTTATTTCAGGCTGAATTCAGTTTTGTCCTGTGGCCGTTCTCGTTGAAACTCTTCTGGGCTCCAATAGTCGATGCTATTTACTCCCAGAAATTCGGAAGACGAAAGACATGGCTCATACCCATACAGTATACCATGGGTATGTTCATGCTGTACCTCTCGGGACACGTGCAGCAATGGATGAATGACAGTCAACCGAGTATTGGATTACTCACTGTATTATTTTTTTCTCTCAATGTCCTGGCGGCTACTCAAGACATTGTAGTCGATGGCTGGGCTCTCACCATGTTGAAAAGGTACTGCTACCTCCAGGCGCTTGTCATTACCCAGAATATCCGAATGTTCACGTTATTGTTTCAGAAACAACGTGGGATATGCTTCCACCTGCAACAGCGTTGGTCAAACAGCAGGATATTTCCTTGGATATGTTCTTTTTATGGCACTAGAATCTGCTGAATTTTGTAATGCATATCTTCGGTCGACTCCAATGACTGAGGGACTAATTACACTTCCCGGTAATAATTTTTCATTAAATACATCGATATATATTATTCAAATTAATTGAATGCCTTTCAGGATTCTTATATTTCTGGGGCTGGGCTTTTATTGCTTGCACAACAATGGTTGCTATTTTCAAACGCGAAACTGACGAGAAGCATGCTCAGACTAACGACCTCTGGAAAGATGTTAAACACTCGTACAGTTTGCTCTGGGCTACTGTAAAATTACCTACCATTAAAATGACAGCGTTGATTCTCCTCACTTCCAAGGTAATAAGGATAAATAATTGATTATTAATTGAATTAATAGGCAGAGGATACATCTTCGAAATTTCCTACCGTGGAAATTGATTCTTTTTTTATTTTAATTATTAGATTGGATTCTCAGCATGCGATGCAGTGACGGGCTTGAAGCTCATAGACGTTGGTGTACCAAAAGAAAAAATAGCCTTGATGGCAGTTCCATTGATACCACTGCAGATAGTCTTACCACTAGCTATATCTAGACACACCGTGGGTCCACGACCACTGGATGTTTTTCTAAAAGCCATGCCTTACAGACTCTTATGTGGTCTGATTGCAGCAGGATTGGTGTGGATAACACCGTCCTTCATAAAAAATGGCGAGATATCGCCGTATTATTTTGTCCTCCTTGTTCTCCTCTACGTTTTCCATCAGGTAAAGAATCGATTTTGTAAAAAAATAATGGTGGAATCTCTTACTTATCCTTTTTTTTATGATTACAGATAACAGTAAGTAGTATGTTTGTTGCTTCTATGGCATTTTTCGCCAAGGTGAGTGATCCTGCTGTGGGTGGTACCTACATGACGTTTTTGAATACACTTTGTAATCTCGGGGGCAACTGGCCCACAACAGCTGCACTCTGGTTTGTCGATGCTCTTACGTGGAAATCCTGCAGCAGTGATTCTAATAATGATTGCAGTACGCCTGCAGCACAAGAGGTAATATTTTTATATTTTTTTATAGGGAATTTCAGCATCAATTATCAATCACTTCGATTCCGATCGTAATAATAATATTAATAATAATCATCATAATAAAATGTAATATTTCCTCGTTTTCAGCAATGCGAGCTCAATGGCAAGTGCTTCACACGATTGGATGGATACTACCTCGAGAGTATCGTCTGCATAATAATTGGCATCGCATGGTTCAGATGGGGAAAGAGGAAAATAAATTACTTGCAATCAAGACCGATGACTGATTGGAAAGTCGTAGCGCACAGGAGTTAACGTTTATCGATTGTCTAGATTCGTCATCCTGAAATTCATCTGATAATATAATTTACCTTCACAACCATTTATTTATCGAACAAGTGGGAAGGATGTAAAATCGGTAAAACTCCAGAATTTTACATAATCTGTTTAATCTCGTAATTGTCCATATTGGCACAATATTGAATCTAATTCAGGTACCGATTGGGAGTCAAATTGTTGTTTAATCACCATTCCAATAAATCATGTTTTTAGAGATATTATTTTATGAATGAAATGTGTACATAAAGTGTAAACAATTTATTTACCACTGAGACAGTTATTTCATTGCAAATCTTCTTAGTTCCATTAAATATTTCGCTGATTTCGAATTTATTGCTCTCCTCTGCTGATACTTCTCTTGACTGACGGGTGGTCGTTGAATAAAATTTTTATGACAACTCCAGGCATTTCCCCGGGTATATTGCAATCAATTCCAGCTCCAGTTCCAGCTCCAGTTCCAGCTCCAATTCCAGCTCCAGTTCCAGCTCCAGTCCCAGTCCCAGTTCCAGTTTCAGTTTGAATTCCCGCTCCAGAACCAGAACCAGAGGAAGACTCATCGATGGTGATCACCGAGTCTTCAGTGGTTATTACAATTTTTTCTTGTTCTTCCTGAGGATCAGGTAGAATTTCTTCCCTTCTCAAAATTGGATTCTGTTCCTCTTGTTCGTCAACATCATCATCATTCCTCCTTCTCCTGTCACCACCCGACATGTACGAGCGAAACCAAAGAGACGAGGAGCATGTGATCTCCCCAACAAGTACATAAACGATCAAACAATTAACAACAAATCGCCGCAATCTGCACATGATGTTCTAGCGAGTGGAAATTACACTGCAAGTTGTTCGCCAGTTCGACCTAATCTTTATGGGATATTTATTGTCGGTGTCATGAATCAGTTGAGACAGATTGACATCCATAAATTATTCGAGTGATGGATTACCAATTAAAATGACAACATTGATCAAATTAGATGTATTTTCACAATTTTTACAACATCAATGATAGATCGAGATAGCGATGGCTAGATCTCAATCTAATCTATAGGCCTGTCGTCTAACATAAAATATTAAGAGATCAACATTTTTCATTAGCTAATAATTCATTTTCTCCAGAGAAAAATATACAAAATCTAATATCCATTGTACGCTCAGCGACTGGATGACACATCAAATACGATGAACATGATGAATGCAGTCTTTTTCGTCTGTTCAACGAAAATTATGAAAGGGATTTGATTCTTAATACCTGAAATTAACAAATTGACAATGCAAACTCATACGGTGAATTAAAATCAACGATTGTACGAGTCACTAGTTAAAATTGGCTGTTTATCCGGATTTCGTTGAGATTGTGAGCGTGCGGCCTTGAATTTAAGACCAGAATTCCATTTATTGCGAGCCTGTGCCTGTTCTGCCTCCAGTGTTGTCATCAGAACGGAATAGGAGTTGGGACCGGATGCCTCGGTGCTATGATGAATGCCGTACAGGAAGTAGATGAACATTCCTGGGAAAAAAATTAATTATAAATTAATTATAAATCCATTATAAATCAATTATAAATCAATTATAAATCAATTATAAATCAATTATTCTATCAATCGGAATTCTATTGAGATATAAATTTACCAATGAACATCCAGATGAGAAATCGAAACCAAGTCAAGATATGCAAGTGGCTGACGAGCAGAACATTCGTAAAAATACTCAGAGCAGGTATCCAGGGTACGAGAGGCACCCGGAATTTATCGTTAACCGGGGGTGATTGCTCGTGTGCTCTGATCACCAGAAGACTGGCGACTGTCACTAACAGCATGTAGACGTAGAGGATGTCGTCCCACACAGTCTCCATTTGCATAACTGTTAGGATGCAGATGCATGCACATCCTCCAGTGTAAATAATGACAGCTGCCACAACTGCTGTTCCAGGCTCCCAGTTGCCGATGATGTTTGTCATCCAAATGTATCGCTTCTTCAGACGACCGACAGGATTCAAACTCTCGCTCTCCAGCAGCTGAAATTTACAGAATTGACTAGTGGACGTCAATTCATAGGATTTCACTGAACAATTGGATTACCTCGTATTAATATTACCTCAGACTGATCAGGTGATGATGATCCTGCGATGCTGCTACTGGTTGCCGAGCTATCACTCCCCGGTGATTCTAATTCGCTGGTCTTATTTTTGGACCTCAAGTTCTGGGGGAGTCCGTCGAGTGATTGATATGGGCGATAACGAAGAACAATAACACTAGCTGAGACGATGGTGTACGCCAGGAATGTACCGATGGACATGAACTCAACTAAATGCCGAAGATCGAACAATAATGCAATTATCGCACTGAGGATTCCACTAATAGCTAGAGTGATCAATGGAATTTGAGTTCTCTCGTTGACCCGAGCGAGAAATGAGAAGAGAAGGCCATCACTGGCCATGGCATACATGATCCTGGGTAGAGAGAACAGGGATCCAAAGAGAGTTGTCGTCATGCCACAAAGTGCACCGATACTGATAACGTATTTAGCCCAGGTGACACCATTAGCAGAGAAAGCCTCTGGCAATGCAGCACTTGGATTGATATCACCATAGGGAACGATGAGGGTGAGCATTCCACTGAGAGTTACGTATCCTAGGGTGACAATAGCCATTGACAGAGCTGTTGCTCGAGGAATGCTCTGACTGGGCTCTCGTGCCTCTTCCCCAGAGCTAGCAATTGAATCAAAACCTACGAATGCGTAAAAACAGCTTGCAGCACCAGCCAGAACTCCAGTGAAGCCAAAGGGAAGAAATCCACCGTGATCTGGGTTGACCCAATTATCCAATTTAGCGTATCGAAATCCCAGGCCAATCACCAGAACAATCACTGCTAGATTCACGAGTGTGAGGGCAGAGTTGAGTCTAGCTGAGGCCTTCACACCGCATCCCAGGAGAAGTGCGTAAACTAGACAGAGAGCTGCAGCTAGAGGATCGGGTATACGAGCCAGAGGTTCACCCATTTCTAAACCTGAAAAAACTCCTCGTGTCCAATTACTTAGAACTCCACCGGATAATGAGTCGACGTAGCCACTCCAGGCTCTTGCCACTGAAGCTGCTCCAATCATGTGCTCCAGGATGATGTTCCAGCCGATGACGAATGCCCAGAATTCACCGACGGATACGTAGGTGTAGACGTAGGCACTACCTGCTCTTGGAACACGTGCACCAAATTCAGCGTAACAAAATGCTGCTAGGAGAGAGGCAAGACCAGCCAGCAGAAAACTCAGGATTACTCCAGGACCCGCTATGTCGTGAGCTACACTCCCGGTGAGAACGTATATCCCAGCGCCGACCATGTGTCCAACACCTGGAGCATCGAATCACCACAGGGATAATTTAAATCATTTTTTTAATTTTTTCATTGAAATTCTTCAACTCACCCAACAGAGTCATGTCAAATGTTGTTAGACATCTCTTCAGTGGCGTCTCCAGGGAGTCTCCATCCAACCGCTTTGTACGATTCATCTTGGAGCACATCCCAGACATCACGTGCCCCAGGATCATTCTCCTGACGGACGGCATTTCGCCTGGAACTTTTTATCAATGGATTTATCAATTATTCAAAGTCAACAGCTGTCTTCTGCACGTGTCACTACTGTCACAGCATTTTTGGGTCTTTGATACTTTGAATATTGAAGAGTTGTTTACGGTTTTACCTTTTGAATTGATACTCCTGGTTATTTACCGATGATACTGATTACGTCTGGGATGCAATGTTGTATCCCAGGCATCGGCTGCATGAAAAATTGACAATTTGCCGATGATGCGTGGGTGTTCACCAGTACGCAAACTCCTTCTGCGATCGATCAACTCGACGATTATTTTACGCGTTAGAAAGAATTCTAGGAAAGGTGACGAGTTCAATAGGCATTTCACCCTTCATTCTCCATTTTTTTTAATTTTCATATCTCCATTTTTGCAATCAATGACTGACGCAAAAGTTTTATTTTCGAAAAAAGTAATTTTCCTCTCCAAAAAGTAGATCGAGCCCCAGAGCAAGAGGTGAAATAATAATTATTATCATTATTATTATTTTTATTATCAATTTTTCCTTTTTTGACACTTTTGAGGGTTTCAAATTATCCAAAACATGAATACGAACAAAATAAATAATTTTCGGAAGAAGACAATTGATTCTTGAACGCAAGTTATTTTATTCGAGGGGAGAATTAGTACTTTCCAGTCCCTACGAGAATAAAATATCGTGTGCCTCACGGAAATAAAGTATTTTCTGGCTCATGTGATTATAAACTCACATTTCCTCAGAAAATACTTTACTCCCTAGAGGCACAATATACTATTCCCGCTGACATTCAAACTGCACCTGCGCGCGATTGCAGCGCACGATTTATTAGCCCGGCGGCTTGGGTTTTCTCAGCCATTGCCATCGGCACGTGAGGTGTATCTCCACAATCGCCGTAAAAGAACAATAATTTCATTGATAACGTCAAAAACAATGAATGTTAACTTCTCCGGATGTGTGCAGCCGATAATAATTTATTCTAGTGAATTCTGAGTGCTTAATCCTGGTGTACTATTAATGTGTTCACGTGATTTGAAATTGGTGATCAAGTTTGGTTAGGATTTGCTCCACGAAAACGCGGGAGATGATTCTCAGTGATTTCTCAATAAACTCTGTTAAATAATAAATCACGTAAAACTCTCGAGGCGAAAATTGCCGCATGTATATTTTAATAAGTTTTTTTTTAAAATGAAGATGCAAGAGAATTTGCTATTTAATTATGCATCCATCGTGGCGACAACACTAGCTACTGCAACAGCTCTAGTTATAATAATAAATAAATTACGGTAAGATGATCGATGACTGGAGTAATCATTCGTGAAGTTTAAAAACTAATGGGTAAAATTGTTCGATTGTTCGTCTAGGAAACGATGGCCAGTGGAGGCTAATTGCTGGTTTTGCAACGTCAATACCAAAATCTGGAGGTCGGAAATAGACTGGTGGCAGTGTCCATCGTGTCAGCAATTCAACGGCTTCTCCGAGGATGGAGATTACAATTACGACATTCCCGAGCAGCGGCACAGGTCATTGAATGATCTGAGTATTTATTCAGCTTCCTGCAGACCAGAAAAGCCCTATAATCACAATGCAGAGACACTCTGCAGAAATTGCAATCGGAATGAGGAGCTGAAACTCTACCAAATGCGACTGCTTGATCCACTGAGATTGAGTAAGAAAGAAATGAAAAGCTGTAGAAAATCACTTGAGAAGCAGTACCCACTCTGCAGGCGATGTAATTCACTCGTTAAGAGTGTTTTACGGAAGCAATCTGTGTGGCTAACGCAGTACAAGATGCTGCTTTTTAAACAGAGGCCCATAAGCCTCATTGTTAACAATTCAGAAAAGTTGGAAAAACTTTGTAGAATTATTTTAATAGTATTAAGTTCAATAATTATAGGATTCCCCACGTCACAGGTCCTACCAATGGTCGGTGCTTTGTTACAATTTTTCACTGCCACGAGAAAGTTCAATTTCAGAAGTAGCCATCACTTGTTATTAGTTTTAATCTGGCTGGGAGTTTGTACACTCATGCCATTCTGTGGGGAGCAATTAGTGCGATTGAAATTGAGGAGTCACTGGTTTACGTTAGAGTATATTACTGGACACCAAGTTATCACGTTTCTTTCCACTATTCTGGGATTTGTCAATGCAACATCCACTAGTCCACCATCATCTGGTCCAAATTTATCATTCAAAAAAATGGACACTTCGTCGTCAGACCTAAATTCATCCAGGAATTCTTCGAGAGACGAGCTCGATACTTACCTGGATGAGGAAACAGAGTTGCAAGAGAGAAAATCACCAGTTAATATCACACATTTGTTGACATCTCCGTCGCCCCTTGAGAATCCAGCACCAATCAAGCCAGTGCTGGCTCCGAATTTCAAGGTCTGCAACAGTCAACTCGGTTTCGCTAGGTTGGACAGTCGCCCCGAAGCCTTCAACACTCCTCTCTGGAAAGACTATGGGTCCCATCACAAGAAGACATCCCTAAACGACAGCCTGCGAACACTGAGCAGCCTCTCCCTGAACGAAAGGGACGATAAAATCAGCTCGAGAAATTCCAAAGTCTTCGAAACTCGAACGTACGGCACGACGAGTCCAGATTTATTCAAAAAAAATTCTCAAACATTAAAAAAATTCGTTCTGTCACCACCAAAATTAAAATCAGTGACACAGAATTCGTGGGTGGCAGGAGGATATTGGCAACTGGGGATGGACAGGCCGACGCTGTCTCGTTCTTCAAGCCAGAGCTCAGGATTTGGCTCCACAGGCTCCAATTTTCCTCCATCAAGGGAGCCTTCAGTTGTAAACGACGTGGACAGATACTCCGTCATGTCTGACACGACTCTCTGCTGCAATTACCCTAACAATATCAGCCCAATAAATTCATTCTGCCAGTACACATCATCACCTTACAGAGTTATGGGCCAGGAGATTCCCATCTGCATCAGTCCATCACCGAGTCTCATGTCAAGTACATCCTGTGGACAGATATCTCAACGAACCCTCTGCCACAGTCATCACGTGAATGATCAGTGCATAAAACCCAGCCCAGTGATGATGCAGCAGTCTGAACCACCAATTTGCATCAATCATCCCACCACTGTTTTAACCAATCCGTCGTGGTTACCTGTACTTGTCTGCGGCTCTCTCGTCTTCAACGTCATCGTCTTCTGTACCATTTTACTTCGCTGATTGAACAATATTTCCGGAATAGACTTGTTGATATAACAAATCAGTAGTGAATTGGTAAACTAGCATATGCTCATTTTCTTAAGATGAGTTTTTTCCAAATATCTCTCGATTGAAGGAAAATATTGATATCTTCGTAATTACCTTTTTTGTAGCACTCACCTTTCCCTAGAAAAAATTTCCCGTCAAAAATATCGGTATGTCCCTTCAATAGCGAGATATTCGCTGAAAACTTGTCTCAAAAAATTGCAATTATTCTAGTTTATGAATTCTCGATAGAAATTGCCAATAGATATTTTTTTTATTTTGATCCTCAATGTGTTCAAGTTGTGAACACTGCCAAACTATTGTTATTTATCATAAATGGGATAATGTATATATAGAAAATTCTGAATAATTCCTGATTGAGTAAATCTCAATGGGATTATTCATTTTGAGAGATATTGATGGATACACTCGAAAACTTGTGATAACTGTAATTTTCTTCATGTGTGTTCACTAGGATAAGCGGGTACGGGTAGATGAGACATTTTTTAACACTTATTTTCTCAATTCTCAAAACCTTAATATTTAAAAACAAATTGTATCTCGAGATCAGTACTGCAGAGCTTCCGCCTATTAATGATAATCGACTTTTGTTACATTACACCTTTTTTTAAAAAATTTTCTACGCCGCTAGGAAATCTTCAATGAAGACATCATTGTGTAAAATAATTATTAACCTGTATCATGAATTTTGTTATAAATTGTACAAACATCGACATTTTGTTTTGCGTGCCCCAATGGGTGCATTACTTAATTGAAATGGCTCGTGTCATCAATAAAGTTTTTCTTTTTATTAAGAACGTGTTTCTCAATTTTACAGACCCATGATCTTCTGCTGGAGGACATGGAATTTGTGATACCCCTGGGTAAATTGACGGCCCCATTTCGTATCTAAATCGATATCTAAGTGACGTAAATCTGGTCTGTTCATATCCGCGCGTTTCAGAGGGTACCTTAAAAAAAAATCAAGTTAATTTTGAAAATGCTGGGGTAATATACCATAAATAATTATTCCATCCTTAATTTTCTATATTTTTTCACATCTAAATAATCACAAATATATAAATTAATCAGTTAGCAATTTATTTATTAGACTATCAATTAAAATTCTTTAAAAATAATTATTCAATAATTTTCAACAAAGGGCTCATAATTTTATATACAAATAAAAAACCGGTCCAGATTAGCCCGCACTCCCCTACTTTTTACCTTTTAATCTTCGGTATTTCCTTCCTGGTGAAGTCGCACTGATAATGACTCCGAGGAATATCCGTAGCTTCCTCAATGAGTTCGGCATCCCGTCGTTGAATATACTCTTTGTACCCATATCCGTACTGATTGCCGTAATTATTCGCCAAATCGTTCTCAGGCAAGTACGTCAATTTCCTCAAAACCATAATTGCATCAATACAAAATAACAATTACATAAAAATTAAAAGAAAAAATTAAAAGGAAAAGTTTAAAGACAGGAGCACTACCTCGCATTATAATTGCGCTCAGGCGGTCCCTTGAGCCCCTTTGGAAGAACCCGATAGCTCAAATCGTATACAGTGGAAAAATTGTTGTGATAGGCATCTCCATGATGCCCCAGGAGTTCGTCGTGACCCACTCCCTATTCAAAGCCCAATAATTTGCAATGCAAATGTTGTAATATAAATTGTTGTAAAATAATATAGATCCCGCATTACTTTACTCCGGTTTTTCAACTTCTTCGCTGACTCACGGTTCTCCAGGGCAATCTCCAGGTTCTCCTTGCTGTACGGTCTGAAGAGATCATTGTAAGAACTCCCCCAATTATCCGGTAATGATTTAATTACTGCACGATCCTCGAACCAATTTCCATGCAAAACTTTGGAGCAATATCTCGGCTCGGTGATCTTCAACGTGTCATTCTTCCTAGTGTCAGGAAAGACTTTGCTCTTCAGCAAATTTAAATCCGAGAGTTGAAAGCATCTGTCACAATTTAATACATCGCAGGGATCGAATAGGAAGGACTTCATATTTTTGTGATGATTAAATTCCTCGAATTTTCATTGAAAAAAAAAGAATTGCGACTGTCGTCATGGAGAAAGACGCAATTAGTATAATTATGAATTAATCAAGCGAAAATTTTGGGGACAATCAGTACATACTGCTTTATTGTGATAAGAACACAGACAATATCTACATTGTGTCGATAATTTCAGACGTTCAGATCGTATGAAATGAATTATTCGTTCCAAAGCCGTCGCTAAGACGAGGAATTAGAAACAGTCATCGTTAATTAATCATACGGTCTCTCCGCTATTTGTATAATAATATAGGATGCATCTCTGATTTAATAGTGTTATGAAAAATAATCTATTCGTTCCAGAGTTCTTCTCAAATTTTTCATTTATTTCTCTGAAAAATTGTCGATGCCGTCGCGCCGACGAGATCTCATATATTTCCTCTCTTCACAATTTCCCACATAATTATCGGCCCTACAATGTGCTGTACTCGGTGCATTGTTCATGCCCAAAATGCAACCTGATTATGCCTATGGATTTTTTGCAATAATTTTCTCATTCTCTTATCTGAGGTGCACTTCGATGAGACACAGAGTAAATGATTAATAATGCCTTTCTGGTAATGAAGATTTTAATAAATAAAATTCTTTAAATTAATCTAAATGCACCGGCGCTCCCTTTGATGCAAAATATTTTATTCACTTCATTTTCTATTGAAAATGCGATTAAATTAATTGTATGACGACTGGACTGACATCCGGAGAACTGTGCGACTATTCGTTTTTCATTCGGGATTTCATGGTGCGTTGATGTTTTTCCTTTCTGATAAAAATGTTGAATATTTATATATATGTACAGATGCATTATCACTGCATCGTAAAAATGGAAAGCCAGAGGAAATGTCCCATTGCGAATGAATTCCACGGGAATTCACTCAATCAATTGAGGATGTAGAAATAACAGAGCCAAGTCGTCATGAAAAAAAAAATTCAAATTATTAATCAATGCAGACATAATAAAATAGTCTGCAGAATCAATACAATATTTGTTCCTACCTAGAATTGCAAGCTCGCCTGTCGAGCATTCCAGGCTCGTTTCCTAGATTTCTTTATAAATCTTTTGCCAATGATCATAACATATTACGTTATCCTCAGAAACGTCAAGTACGTGTGGCTCGTTATTACAAATAATATAAATACAGCAGCCAATTTTTTTAAACAACTAAAGCACTTTTAATCATTCTCCTTTTCAAGCTCCGCAGTTGTGAGAATATTCAAATAAAAATTGTCATTGCAATCGTTGCACCAGAATTGACAAGAAGGGTTATCACCAGACTCCCCAAATAATTTATAATCTTGGTACAATTCTAAAAAAATACAGTACGATATTGCAACAAAAAGCGATTCGATTAATTAATCTCTGATGGGTTGAAGATGGAGGCGAGAGAGAGTTGATAGGGACGTCTTTTTTTTTTCAATTTCAACTCCTATTGTGTGGACCCCTAACATTTGATACAAAATATTATTATATAAATAAATATTCGAGCGGGACGTTGAGATTATTTATTTTCCTTGAATCATAGAAATTTGATGATATAAGCCAGTAAATAAATAAAAACTGACATATCATAGGAGAATAAATGCCCGAGGGAAGACAATTTCAATTTCAGAATCCAAAAATCACAACAGAGAGACTTTAACGCTTAACAAATATTAAGCGAGTCCTCCCAATTGATTCGCCGCATCGAAATCGTCTTCATGGAGCAATACCAATCACCCAATAGATCATCGATAAGCAAAAGAATATTTCTCCTTTAATAAACATCTTTTGCGATTTAGAATACACATAAGCCACAGTCATTCTCACAATTCAGCAACTGCATGTCCAATCGCATTCAACTGCACGTGATTTACTATTGCATTTCAATCTCATGATTTGAATTCTGGCAAATGTCTAGGCCAGGATCTATTATTTACCTCATCTTAATCATCTTAATCAATCGGTATTTTATTTTCATAATCAGGTCCAGCAACAAAATGCATAATGAGAACATGATTCTTCTCATCTGTGCATAGGACATTGAATTCTCATTTAGTAATGAATCATTGTTAATCAATGATAGAAGTCAGTGCATAATTAGAAAGCGTTCTGAACGTAATGCGTCGTTTCGATCATGAATTGCAATATCCACACAGTATGAAATCGATCGATGTTGTCGCTAATGATCTACACTTATCGCGCATGTATTATTTCATCTCCTTTAAATTAAATAATTTATAAAAATCAACTATTTACAAATCGATAAGACATGCAGTATTACATAGTAAACTTAATGATATCTAATCTTAGCCAGTACTAAGCACATGCTTATTATTTTTTCGTTTTTTTTTCTCATTTTTTTTTTCTTTAAGTTTTGCTCTGTTAAATAAAAGAAAACGGATAGTGCTCGTTGCGAATAGTAGTACTTGTATAACCCTTATTCATATATGTTTTTTTGTTTTACCGTAATGGTTTATGTGTAAGAATTGTAAATAATGTCCATCTCTGGAATCCTTTTTTTCTCATCGGCGAATGCATTCTTGCGTTCGTTCTCTGTAAAAGTGAAGAATTTTTTCGGGTTACGCTCACGACCGAGGAGATTCCACATCTATTGAGGAAAAACAAAAAGTAAGAAAAGAAAAAGTGAAAATAATAGCGTAAAATCACCTGGGGGATATTAAATAAGAGTGAATTATTCAATTACCTCGATTTCCAGTCCTAATAACATTGAGTCCTCCACCACCATGATGCTGTCCAGCACGAATTGGCTTGGCAATTTGGGCGCTGGGGCCACGTCGTGACAAGTTCTTTTGCCTGACAGCCTCCTTAATCCTATCAACTTCATACTGGTAACGTTTACGATCTCTCATTGCACCCTCTTTGGCATCACGCAGTGCAGTCTCGAGTGCTTTGACACGCTCAACAGTTGCCCTCAGCCTTTTCTCAAGTTTGGGCAGCTCGCACCGCAGATCAGCATTGTCCCTGACAAGTTGCTTGTGAACCTTGGTCAGCTGATCAAGATTATTCTCGAGGAATGATATCTTCTGCTTCTGGGCCAACGAGCCACCATCGTCCTCATTATCCTCAGCATTAGCAGTCTTCTTCATTCGCACCTGGAGATCCTGGACAAATAGTTTGCGCAGATTGTGCAGTGTCTGGAGTTCTTTGGCAACGGTGTCCTCCAATCCCTTGAGATCCTTCCTCGCTTGTTCACGACGCTCATTCATCATTATCAAATCCTGGAGCTTGAGGGACTTCTCAGCCTCCTCTTGCTTCAGTCGTTCGTAATCAGCCTGCATCTGCTGGTGGGCCAGTGTGAATTTCTGGTTGAGATCCTTGAGTTCACTTATCATCTCCTGCTTCTCTGATATTTCATCCCTGAGGGCTGCCACCTGTCGCTGGTGAGCGTCACGCAGCTGGTCCATCTGCTCTTCCAGAGCCATTCGCATCTTCGTCGCTGCCTCTTTCTCCTCTGCTTTCTCCTTGTTACTGACAGCCTGCACTTGCTCAGCGGCCTTTAATTTAGCGCACTCTTCCCGCATTGCATCGACATCTTCCTCGAGCTGACGCTTCCTCGCGTCGGCCTCCTTGATTGATTCTGTCAGAGTCTGCATACGTGCCTCGTGCTGGGAGATCAATAAACGACACTCACCCAGTTCTTTCTCATACTCTGATATCTGAAAACACGAATTCAACTCAGTGAACGCCGCATTAGAAAATTTACCTCAGATCAACGCAAACAATACCTTCTTGTTACAATCAACTTGGAACGTTTCTAATCCCTGACAACGCTGCACCAAATTCTTAACTTCTGACTTCATTTTGCTAATGTATAATCTTGCCACCGTGAATTCCTCCTCGAGTTTGCCGTTCGAATCCGGCGTGATCTGACACTGAAGAGCAGAAAAAAAATGAATTATCAAAGACAATGATTACTCAGTAATTAGTAATACTCATCAATTGGTTATTTAAAAAATGGAAAAAAAAGGGATTTTGAAGATAACTTACTTTGCTGAGGTTCTCATCTCCCCCAATAGCAACTCCAATCTCCCCAAGATCCTTCAGCAGATTATTCAGCATCTCAGCACTTCGTTTACGCTGATGAGTGGACATGTCCCTCAACTGCTGTAACTCAGAGCTCGTGGAATTGAGAGCGGTCTGTTTAGCTAGGAGTTCCTCAGTGAGTGCCTCGTGTTCCTTATTCTTCATCTCTACCTCCTGCGACTTCTGATCGTAATTAACAGCCAATTCCTCGAGAGCCTGCAGCACCTCCTTGACCTCCTCCTTAGCACTCTCAGTTTCCTGATTGATAGTGCTCATCTCCTGCTGGAGCTGCTCATAATCCCTTCGAGCACTGGCAATGAGTTCCTCCTGCTCCTCGAGCTGCTCCTTGAGCTTCTCAAGATACTGGCTCTGCTGGTTGATCTCCTCGTCCTTGTCATCCAGCTGCTGGAATAATCGCTCCCTCTCCTCCTCGAGTTTCTGTCGCTCCTCATTGGACAATGAACCAGCCATGAGGCCACCACCAGGGACAGCTGGAATAGGACCATCAGGTACCTTGCCCTCGACCTTCCCTTCAATCGGAATTGGTGTAATGACATCGGGTCCCTCAACGAGATTAACCTGCTCCTCGGGTTTGACCGTCTCCCCCTGCCTCCAGCGAGACAACTCGTACTCCAACTTCTCGACTTTACCCTTCAGCCTCGCAGCCTTCTCCTTCTCACGCTCGTAACGTCTCTTCCACTCCTCAGCCGTCAACTCCTCATTAACGCAGACAACATTCTTGATTGTCTTCGCACGTTTACCAAAGTCCAGGGTGGATTTTGTCTCGGATTCGTTAAAACTCGCTGGCGAACAGCAGATAATAATTGTTGTTCTCGCGTTACCACCGAGTGATTCTTGAAGAATTCTCGTCAGCTTGGAATCACGATAGGGTATGTGTGTCTTATTGCCATCGGCAAGGGCTGAGATGACGTTACCAAGGGCGGACAATGACTTATTAATATTCTTAGCCTCATCCAGAACAGTTCCTTCAGCACCAGTCTTGGAGACCTTCTCAGACCCAGCTAAATCCACGAGGTACAGCTTACCCGACAATTTCTTTTGATTCTCTAGGTTCTCCTGCTTGACGTTGATGAGAAAAACTGAATGCGAACGAGAGCTGTGTTCATTCATATTCGTAACAGCTATATGTCGATTTGACTTTCCCTCCTCAATAACTTCAAATACTTCCTCTGGACTAGATACGAAACGCTCAGTTGCACCTTTAACGAATGGTACTCGATTCTTGTCTTCGTGAACACTCAAGTTCACTTTGGATACGTCAAGTAGATCTCTAATCTTGTCCATGTAAATCTCGAAGTACGATACTTTTATATGAAACTCAAGATTCTCCTCCATTCCGTAAATGTGATTAAATATATCATTGACAATTCTGGGAATGATACCCTGTTTATTCGGATCACCAATGACGCCCTCCATTGTGTGCGTTTTACCTGTTAATATTTCATGGCTCAATTAGTCCTCATCTCCAGGTGTTGACAGCAATAAATAATCAAATATAATCATTACCTGAAGACGTCTGTCCATAGGCGAATATTGTACCGTTGTAACCCGCCAACACGTCCGTAACAATTGATTTAGCAGCTTCATTGTACACTTTGTCTTGCGTTGCATTTGGTTTGAATACTTTGTCGAATAAATAAACTTTTCCCTGAAATCAATTGAACATTTATTCTCCCCGAGTCAGATGAGAAATGACTCACTCGCATCTAGAGTATCTACAGAATCATAATCATCACTATCATGGCATGATATAATGTGGCATGTGGATGAATGAAGGATTCTTCATTAGTTTTTTATCTTAATCATAGTAATGACAGTAATGAGTATTCGATAAAAAAAAAAAACGGAGTAGACTCCGCCGAACTGTCAGCTGTGCGCCGTCGCGTACCCATGCGAATAATAACCCATATCACGATATGATGAAATGAACCTCAATTATCAATATCGAAGAATAGCTTACCCCGATGGAGATGCAATTTTCATCACCTCCGGATGGAAATTTAACGACAAATTTTGAGCCAGCCTTTTCCTCGGAGTCATTGAGTGGCCGAAATCTACAGACCACCTTGATGCTGTCCTCAGCGGCGATCTCACGTTCCCTCGGTGTATCCATTTTTTTTCCTTACTCAACAGTGAACAATTTGATGAACAAATGACAAATAGCACGACGTACCAGGAAGAACCTCGTCCTCGTGACTCGCTGATTGATTTTCAAATATCATAGGCAAGGGGACTATTCAAATAAACGGAGGCATGAACAAAAGTTACTCTACTGTCAGACCACGGCCCGTATTCAACAGCAAGATGGCCGACAGTCGATTCTCACCATTACCAATCGCCACGAGCAACTGTTCTGATCTGGTGGGGGATAGGGGGAGTACATACTTTACTTGCACTTGCGCTTGACGGTTTCAACGAAAATTACACGACCAACAAAGACTGGATAAGGATCAACTTTATTTTCGAGGTGTCTATCACACTCCAGTGCACTTCCTGGACAACGCGATGCACTTCCATGACAATCAGCGATACCAGGGCCGAAATTCCGACCCAAGAGAATAGTCTTGTTCAGGGATTGGTATTATTGAGTGAAGACAATGGATTTTTTGGAAGGTTTATATTTCTCCAGGGCAGTCATTTCCAGTTCCAGCTCCAGGTCCAGATCTATTTCCAGTTCCAGTTCCAGTTCCAGGTGTAAACGTTGCAGTTATTTTGATTTTATTAATGGTTATTAGGGTATGTGTGACCTTGAAATGCCCTTGATTATTTTTCAGATTTTATGCACTAATTTGGAATTTTTTTGAGCTGAATAATTTTTCTCACCGCATCTCCCTGAAATGAAAAGGAATTCCCTCGGAGAAATTCATCGACTGAGGTCATAAAATATCAGAATATTAAAAAAAATGGAGGAAAAAAATCATTCCCCCATTGATTATCGAATTTAATATATTTCCGTTGATTAAAGCCAAATTTTTCTAAAATCAAAAGGTGTCGTGTCCTGGAAACAGCTCCTAGGAGATTAGCTTCCAGATCCTCAACATACTCTCCGATAATTCTTCGGAGATAATCCTCGTGGCCTTGACACTTCTTATTAATTCACTAGGTCCTCCCATTCACAGGGTAAAATCCATTTTATGGGAAATTATTCTCGAGTTCATTCCCAGGAGTTCCTCTAATTTTCTCATTTTTTTTTAAAGTAAAATATCGTATGGATTAACAGCCTACACTCATCCGGTTCCATGCATGTGGGTTGATACCAATAGCACATGCCCTCCAGTCGTTGCATTACGAATCTCTTCATCTTCTCTAGGCGTATGACACATGTGTACTTAGTCATGTCCCAATTTACGTTCTGAAAATTCTTCTGGTGGCATTTCGGTTGAGAATGAAAAGATACTCAAGTGAGTCAACATCGCTTTCTTCCTGACGTGGCGATTAAAAACATCCTGTCCATTTGAGTTTGGCTACAGCCTCCGTAAAAATAGCCCAGAGTTTTTTATTTCCATGCTCCGATTCCCCGACTGACACTCAACCCATTTGAATTGTAAATTAAACTCAAGTATTAATTGGGACTTTCCAATGATTCTGGTTTTCATTTAAACTTTTATAACAAAAAAAAACCATGTTTTTCTCATCTCTATTTACCATTGAATAACAAGACAGGATGAATTTTTTAAATTTTACACTTGAACAGTATGTAGGTGTCATATTAATGTGTAACAATTATTCTTCCTCTCTAATTTACATATATATTATGGATGCTTTCTATTAAGTAAATGACTAGGATTAGGACTGAATATGGAGTGTAAAATGTCTATAATATTATTTCTTAGTTCATTTGTATCGGTTAAATGATATAATCAACGTAAAATTGCACTTGACACGTAAATTGGCCTTCTATATTCGCTTTTACAATTGCCGTTGAAAGAAAACTACAAAAACCGTGAGATTAAATGCACGAGTCTCGTCACTTGTATTTGTTATAAATAGCAAAGTGCTTCGGCACTATTAACTATGTAAATACTGTCATCGCTATTGGGCAAAAAAAAAGATAAAGCGATGAGTTCATCCGGTCGTCGATAAATTTCTCGGTATTTTTACACTTTGAATTTTGAAAAAAGTGAAAAATTAAGCACGACGAAGCTTAATTAATTCGTTGTTGTAGTTTCAACTGCGAACCATAAATTATTCGGATGGAACACGTTGGAGTACCTCAACAATTATTTTCAGACTTTGAATGTACTATCCGGTATCATTATAATATATAATATAATGCATACGAAATAACGATTCCCTGAAACTGTCTATTATAATATTTCTTAATAAATAGTTGCATAAAACATCGATGCATTTTGTGAGCAAATAATGCGACTTGAGTTGATATTGCAACCGTATACCTTTGCCGACCCGTTTTTCATCCCTACAGATTAGCAAATTCTATCAAATATGTGCGCAATAAATAGAAATAATATGTGCGAATAAATAGCCGCTCATCACCGCGTTAAAAAATAAATTAAGTACTTGTCTCCATTACTGTAAAATACTCGTGACGCAATGAAGATAAAAAAAAAAGCAGGTGATCCTGCTGATTATTTACAATTTACACTATCTTAAAAACTTCTCGTCATTATCCTAGTGATACTCCGATTATCACTTCGTTTTAAATATTTTACGTTTGCTGTATACGCGTTAAATGGACGTTTGAATTTCTCTCAGTTGTTCGTTAAATTGCGCAAGTGAATTGAATTACTCGATGCCAAAGGTATTGGTTTCCTCCACCGCCAGTAACAATTTGTCGTACAAAATTTCAGGGGTTGGATAAGGCGGCAAGTCCAATCGATTGAAACAAGTGTGAGCCCTAGAAGAGAAAAGGAATTAAAATATATTGATAATTTCATGGAGTGGCCTGGTGGATCTCCAAGGGAATACAAACCTCGGTAAACTATTTGGTCTTCCCCATTTCTCAATGCAGAATCTTCTTGGTCCCGTGGATCCCCTCAACGCTGCGAATCCCTCGTAGGGAATGCTGGAGGTGCCAGTTACAAATTGCAAAAGCCTAAGTCGCTGCTCATTGGTGAATCGACTTATGCTACTCCAAAACCACTCGACAACAGGATGTCCATCATGATATCCACTCCTGTACTCAGTGTGGGCCCTCCAGTCATTCAAATCAATCTCAGCAGCACCAGCAATCACAAGTTCCAATTCCCTGGCATCAAAAACTGAAACCAACCGAGGATCCACGACCTCGTAGAAGCCCCTCACCAGGGATTCAGTCTGCTCAGACACTCCACGTTCTAATCTCCACCTGACGACTCTCTCGAGATACTCCTTTTTATTTTTCTCAGTCACCGCAATATTCCGTCCACCGGGTTTCAATTCCCTCTCGGCGACACGACCCAGGAGTTCCTCAGTGACTGAAAAGGTCAATTCCAAGGGTTCAATGCTGATATCCCGTTCCTTGATCCACATAAGACTCTGGTGGAACTCTTGGTCGAGGCTCTCGAGATCACTTAAGCTAGCTGGCAGCCGGAGAAGGGCCTTGTAGAAGGGTCTCGTGAAGAATGCATCAAGTAAATACTGATGAACAAGAGCTAATCCAAGGACTCTGCCTGAAAATCTGAACCAGTCGTGATAATTATCGACAAAAGCCGACATCGGTGAGACCTGAACGGTGTAAGTATCATTAGCAGAATACTCGAACAATCCGTAGTAAGGATTGAACAGCTCTCGAGAGAGATGGAAGAAAAATTCCCTGGAGGGTCCACCGTAATCCAAGCCCTCCTCATGATCGAATATCACCACAAGCTTTCCCTTCTGTAGATCCTTTTTAGAAGCTGCCATAATCCTAGTAAAGGCATCCTCTAGCAAATGCTCACGTCGAATATGTAGTTTGAGTTTGCCAGGGCCTTGGCCAAAACCTTTGCTCTCGAGTTTTCTGTAGAATGTCCGGAGTTTCGCCTCGAAATCTCTCCTGTATGGTGCAGGCGCACGAGCAGAGGCTCTGGTCAATCCAGGCGATGCATGCGGACTGCCAATTGGCGAACGTCCAATATTTCCAGGAACATAGGACATTATTTCCTGTTCGAAGAGACTGAGGAGCAGTGCCAGAGGCACGTCATGACCCAATCGCTGGAGAGCAGTGGCACCTTCCACTCGTATCGTATTGACTTTTTCTCTGAGAGCAATATTTTGGCCGAGTGCCGCATGCCGCTCCTTGAGAATATCCATAATATTCGGCTGGCGAAGAAAGGCAACAACTTTATCATTGTATGCTACAGGTATATCTGGAGTGGTTGTCACACCAGATTGCTGGGGTCTCGGTGGAGGAATGGGGGCTTCATCGAGAAGAGTTCTGGGATGAGCTGCTTCGGTTGGTAATCTAGGATCGATGAATGAAGTTGCTTTTCTGGCGTGACTTATGAAGAATCTCTTGCCAGTTCTGTCGAATTTTGATTCATACCCCCGAGGCAGCTCTTTGCTCACATCAGCGAAGAAATTAATCAGAGCTACGAGGTCCCTGTTGTGCTCGTACCTTGGGAAAACCAGTGGATCCCTGCGGATTCGACTAATCATGTGTTTCAAGCTGGGATTTCGATTGTACAGCTCCATGGCATCCAAATTGGTGTGAAGAACGTTGAAAAAGTCTGGCCGAGAGAGAAATAGAACTGGTGGAATAGTCGATATATCAAAAGGCTCAGAATTTGATTCGCTCGGTCTCTCTCGATCAGTTGGCCTTGGGCGTTCTCCGCTCTCACCTTCTCTGTCGATTCTATCAATATTATCAGGTCGAGATATCGTTCTCCTGACACTCTGGTATCTTCTGTCCAACTGCTGTCTTCTCATCTCACATCCTGTGTTCCTCGAAGACTGTCCTGGCCTCTGCCAAGTGGTCGTGCGATTAATGTGATCGATGTAGAACACTCGTCCGTGGCTGTCGATCCTGGCCTCCCAGGATGGAGGTAGTGGTTCCTCATTGGTCAGAGATGAATTAGCTGTTGAAGAGCACATTGGCAAAGGCCTCAGTGGTTTTGGACGATGTGTTGGAGTCGGTGGACACTCGGATTGTGACGAGACTGCTGTTCCACTGGCACTGGCACTGGCACTGGCACTGGCACTGGCACTAGCCCCTGCGACACCAGGTCTCACCAAGGGCCTATGACTTCGTGGTGAACTGAGAAGAGCAATGCTCTTCGTCACAGCTGTTCGAGGTTTCAGGCCTGCTGCCTCGTCCACATCAACTATTTCAAAACCGAAGCAGTCTTCTGGACGACAGGGGGTCAGATGCTTGTGAGAATGAAGGGCATTGCTTCGGTGGAGAGGCTTATGGACAGCTCGAGGGGGCAATGGTGGTGGATTTGGGTAGAGACTGTCGAAGGGTCGTGATGCTGTTGATGATTCCCCCCCTCCAGTACTCCTCCACAACTGGTAGTACTCAACCTGTGCTCCATTTCCATTGAAATTTCGTTGCTTCTTGCTAGACGGATCCTTACGAGGGCCTCCATTAATTCTTTGGGACTCCGTGTCTGAATTACTCCCCTCACTACTGTACGATGAACGAGGCTCTAGATCATCTTCCTCTAAGTCTCGAGGATTCGAGCTAGACGCCTCAATCAGGGCTGCTGCACTCCCCTCGAATTCGATCCTCTGGGCAGCCTCTGCTGCCTCAAAAAGGTTCACCAGGCTTGGCAGTTTGAAGGGCTTTTGAAGATCAATTTTCGCTGCGCCGTCAACGGTGTCAGATTGAGGTAGTCCCACTGACGAATCTTTGGAGGAACTGGCGATTGCGTGGAGGGAGGACACGTCAGTGTCCCTGACAACCCCAACCGCCCCCTCCTCCGAGATATCTACATTGATCTGCTGCTGATGATCACTCGTACCACACGCCTCGTCTGAATTATTCGAATCATCATCAAGGGAGAAGCTGTTGTGGTTGCTAGATGGTTTCGAGGATTTCTCTGAACTATGGGACTGTCGATTGCTCTTCAAAAATTCCTTCTTCCTAATCATATTTTTACGCAGTGGTTCTTTGACACATGAGAATGACTGGGAGTAACTTGGAGACACCTCTACATTATCTAGTGATTCCTCCATAAATTGCTTATCCATTGTTTCGTTATTCGATGAGTCATTTGATTCACTGCTCCTATCGTTATCAGTGTCTTGAGGGGATGAACTCTGTCTGCCATTCTGATATTGTTTCTCTGATGTTATCGATGAACTTTTATCACTCTCCTCGACGCTATTTTGAATACCAGATATCTCGATTTGTTTAGATAATTGCTCAGCCGAGCCCCGGTGACTCCCTGAATGATTCAGCCCTGAAAATCCATCAGAAGTCGACTGTAGACTGTCAGCGATGCCATTTTCATTAGTATCTGATGATGATTTACTGAGAACCATGCTTGCATGATTTTCCAATGATTCTGACACTCTATTACAGCTCTCCTGATTTGGCTTCATGTCCATCTCATCAGAAACTAGGCAAAATTAGTTTAATTTATCGCTAGAGGATCGTCCCAACCCCAAAGCGCGGAGTAAGTACCTGAAATAGAAAAATAATTCGTTAGACCAACCGATCAACACTGAGACATTGATCATTTCAATTTGAATACTTAAAGTCCCGTTATCAATTTCATACCGATGATTGCAAAGATACGATTAAAACCACGTCAACATCGCCTACGAATGGAGTTGGAGTGCTGGGATGAGTAAATGGACAAGGTCATTCAACAAGAAAGAAAGACGATGTGATTCAGCATAGCTGTGGCATGATGCACTGCGTACATTTTCTTTCTCATTGAAACTGCATCCGATGTATTACCAATTAGCTCTAATGAAACGTCAAGTGATCAGGATTTAAATGGATGGACTCACCTTTCTGCCGATCATCTTGTCCCTCTTTTCCATCCATTCTACTCATTCACCACCACCAAATCTGTTATGCAACATGTTGTTCTTCATTATCATATTACTACAGAGATGTTTCTCAAAGATATATTTCACTGAGCAACACACCAATTTCGGGGATGAAGTTTGACACAAGGATAGAGCGAGGGAGAGAGGTCGTGCAGGATTTAGTTACTTGCTATTTACTTCCTAGGGATATTCCCAGGTATATTCCTGGGGATTTGTGCTGATGTCACGAGTGGCGGGAACATTTTACTTGTTCAAAACTTTACACGTAAATACAATTTCTAATCGAGTTCAGCTTGTTTCATTCTTTAATATTAATCAGGAGAGGAGAGACGGATTTTTCAAGCCGAATTAATTACGTTTTCAAAAATGTCGAATTTTTCAATTTCACTGGATATCTTTTCGATTTTCAAATATTCAGTTTTTAAACGATATTTTGATTGATTAACCATTAACAAAAAAAAAAAATTGGAATTATTTTGAAAAAAAAAATAAATGACGGCGGGATCAAACCCTAGCCGTCCGCGTGCTAGCCAAGCACGCTGCAGATTAGACAACGCGCTCATTATGAAAATATAATTTCATTAGGAGTATATCTTCAATATATTGAATAATTTTTTCCATTCGAAATTCCACAAGATGTAGCTTCCCCCTTCCGCTCGTTCTACAGTCGACTAAATTTCAGTTAAACAAATAAAAAACATAAAAAACAAAAGCATTCATATCGCAGAAAATAAAATTCACCCCATCAACTTCTTCCTCTGACAGCAGGGTTGCCAGACGGGAAAGACTGGATTCTGGTATCCCCTCCAAAAAATTATGGTATATGCTGGGAAATTATGGTATCAAGGAATGGTAAGGTAGAAACCGCTTAAACTGTGCGAAATTTGAAATAACGACCTTCCAAATCGTCTTCACATCTTCTATGAATAGTTTATTATCTTAAATATAGGATATCTACGGCTAAAATTTGGCATATCACTTACAGAATAAATAAAATTTGATAAACTGTCGATATGAAATGAACAAAAGTATAAAAATCAGACGAACGTTATCTCATCATCAGACTCGTCACTCGGCTGCTGTTTTCCAACTGATCCGTCTGTACTCTCATTAACAACTACAAAGGAAGCAGAGGTACAAGGCTGCTGCCTAATAGCCTTCATCTCCTTATTTCTCTTATCATCTCCATACAAATTTGAACTTTTCATCCTGGACAACATGTCTTGGGATGGCATGAATTTCGAGCTTCCTCCCGATGATTTCACATTCTGACTTGATAGAACTAAGCCGTTAATAGTATTAACAATCAATTTGTTCCTTGCCTTGGTTTTGATTAAATTAACTTTGGAGAAAATACGTTCACTATCGGCATTAGAATGTGGGAGGGATAAGATTTGCAATACAACCGCAGAAAGATTACGGAATAGATGAACACCTCCGTCATCATCATTCTTCACGGTTGATAGCTCGCTCCAAAACGCATCCGTTTCCAATCCAGCAAGGCGCTGTTTGTGCTCTTCGATATATGAATGTGAAGGCAACCCACGCCATTCATTGTCAATGGCTTGAAAATCAGCATTTTTGCAAATCCTTGGTAGCGATGAGAGTAATGGAGCAAGAGTAGGTACTGTATCTCTGAGAGTTTGGGATAAGGTAGCAGGAGGCTTGAAAACTCTAATTTTATTCAAGACAGGGTTCTCGAAATCATAACGTTTCTTGATTTCAAGACATCCTGCAATTAAAAAATTTCTGCATCTGTCATGGAAAAATTTCGTCAAATCTTTCTCTTCAATGAAAACTCTCTTTTGCATTTCATTCATCACGTGAACACCCAAATATATTTGCGAATTTGGGAGAAAGTGTGAACTCTCCTCAGGATTTATTTTTGACAAATCTGTTGAAACTACGTAACTCCTCTTCATGTACGAGCAAAGAAGCTCTCTGTAGAGTTCTGTCATTTTATCATGCACGTCTGTTATGACCACTTTACTTGACTGGAAGTATTGATTGACTCGTGAGAAGAGTGGTAGCACCCATTTCAGAAAAAAGAAATACAGCTTATTGAAAGGATCATGTAAGGCATTATGAATAGTCTCGGCTATCACCAGCTTTTCCTCAAATCTGTGCTCTGTGAAATATAATTGTAACGCTGACCACTGCTCCAGCATTCTCTCCACCACTGCGCTCAGTGATAACCAACGAGTTTGAGAAGGGTGCAACAATGAATGAACAGGAGAGTCTGTAAAAACTTGAAATTGAGAGAATCCAGATAATCTCTTAGCACTTGCATGAAAAAAATTATAGACATTTCGAGCTAAGTCTTCAACTGTACGAGGTAATTGTTTACAGGCACAACTGGCAGCCAAATGCAGTGAGTGACATAAACATTTGAAAATAATAATTCCTGGGAAATCACGTTTCAGCCTGCTTGCGACTGAATTAAACTCCCCCATCATCACGTTGCATCCGTCTGAACCAAAGCCAATGATGTTCTCCATTGGAATACCTCGATCTTTGAAGCTTTTAATAAGAGCGGAGTACAGATGTTCT